GCTCAGCGGCGTCAATCAGCGCCGGGCCCCGGCCCAAGCCCCGCAGCAACGCGATGAGCTCAGCCCCTGCGCCGGGAGAGCGGAGCCGCCGGGGGAGCCCCCGCTTTGCCCTCGGGCGGCGGCGGCAGCAGCGCGGGGCCCCGCGGGCAGCCCTCGGTTGGGCAGCGCCGCGCGGTCCCGGTCCCGGTCCCGGTCCGGTCTGTGACGCCGGAGCCGCTGCAGCGCTCGGGGCGCTCCCCGCTGAGCCCCGGCCAAGGCGGGCGGGCGGCCCCGGCCGTGTTTATCGCTGTTTCCCCCGGCTCCATAACAACGCCCCAGCGCCGTTCCAGCGGCTCCGAGCGGAGCAGCGGCCCCGGGCAGCGCCGGGACGGGGCGGGGGCTGCTCCCGAGCCGCCCCCCCCCTTCCACGGGAGCTCCCGGCCCCGTTCCCCTTCCACGGACACGTGCGGGGCGCTGGGACCCGGGGGGGGGGGGGCTCCGCTCGGACACGGGGCGGCCCCGAGCCGGTGGCGGAGCCGCCCCGCGGTGGGGACGGGCGGAGCCGGGCCGTGTGGTTCCGGGTCGGGCGGGAAGATGGCGGCGCCCATGGAGCTGTTCTGCTGGGCCGGGGGCTGGGGGCTGCCCTCGGTGGACCCCGACTGTTTGGCCGTGCTGGTGAGCGGCGGCAGCGCCGGGGCCGGGAGCGCGGCGGGCCGGGCTCGGTGCGCCCCGTCCGGCCGAGCCCCCGCTCCCGCCGCCGCTCTCCCCTTGCAGACGTACGCGCGGTTCACGGGAGCGCCGCTGAAGGTTCACCGGGTCTCCAGCCCCTGGAGGAGCCCCTCCGGTAAGGACCGCCCCCCCCGGGGGCTACCGGCACCGCTCGCAGCCGGGACCACCCGACCCAGTGCAACCGACCCAGTGCACCCCCACTGCATCCTGCTCCCTCTAACCCCTGCGCCTTCCCGTTCTCACTGCCACCACCCCCGACCCCACTGCACTCCCTGCCCCAGTGCACCCCCGACCCCACTGCACCCCCGACCCCATTGCATCCCCTGCTCCATTGCACTCCCTGCCCCATTGCACCCCTGACCCCATTGCACCCCCGACCCCATTGCACCCCCTGCCCCAGTGCAACCCCCGACCCCATTGCACCCCCAACCGCATTGCAACCCCTGCCATATTGCATCCCCTGCTCCGCTGCACTCCCTGCCCCACTGCACTTCCTGCCCCATTGCACCCCCACCCCATTGCACCCCCGACCCCACTGCACTCCCTGCCCCATTGCACCCCCAACCCCATTGCTCCCCCTGCCCCATTGCAACCCCTCGCACTGCCATGTGCCCCTCTGTCTTGCACCCCTTACCTGAGCCTAGGAGCCCCTTACCTCGGCACCGATGCCTGCACCTATCCCCTCTCCTGCCCTCAGGGCGCCTGCCGGCCTTGAAGACGAGGGACAACGGCACCATCTCCAGAATGGAGCAGATCATAACTCACCTCAGGAAACAGGTATGGGGGGCACGAGGGGCACCCCCAGGAGCCCCCTGGGAGGAAGGGGGCAGGGTTTGGTCCCATTGTGTTGCCCTGCAGAAGTACAACGCTGACTACGACCTCTCTGCTGCGCAAGGGGCGGACACGCTGGCCTTCGTGTCCCTGCTGGAGGAGAAGCTGCTGCCGGTGCTGGTGAGCTCTCTTAGGGACCGGGGCCCAGGCTCTGGAGCAGCAGGAGCAGGGATGATGGTGCTGGGCTCTGCTATGGGAGCAGTGGGGACCCCACTGATCCCTCAGCCCCTTGGGGTCTCTGGGGCACTCAGTGCCTGGGTGAGCAGCACCGGGCATGGCTTCAGCCCCCCCATATCCTGGGCACTATGGGGGGTTGCTCCCCACCGCAGATCCACACCTTCTGGGTGGACGCAAAGAACTACGTGGAGCACACGCGGAAGTGGTACGCGGAAACCATCCCCTTTCCCCTCAACTTCTTCCTGCCCAACTGCATGCACAAGCAGCACCTGGAGCGGCTGCAGCTTCTCTGGGGGGACGGCTACATGGAGGATGAGGAGAAGCTGGAGAAAGAGGTGAGGGGATGCGCTTCGGGCACAGCAGCTCCTCGTCGGGCTCCGGGGCTCGCTCCGGTCCCACTGCCCCAGTCCCACTCCGTGGCTGGGGGTGAGAGCCCTGTCTCCTCCTGCTCCAGCTGTACCGGGATGCTCGGGAATGTCTGACGCTCCTGTCCCAGCGCCTCGGATCCCAGAAGTTCTTCTTCGGAGACTCGTAGGTGGCTGCAGGGGGAGGATGCTCTGCACACACAGCACTGACCCCATGGGGGTCCACAGGGGTGCCCCCAGCCCCATCTCTTGTTGGAGCCAGCTCCGGGGTGGGAGCATCCCGGTCCCCCCCTTGGGGTTGGAAGCAGAGAGGGAGGCGCTGCCCTCCCCTGGGGCACAGGGGGTGGCCCCTGATGGCTTTGGGTTGGGGCAGTGACTCAGGGCAGGTCTCTGTGCCCCAGGCCAGCCTCCCTCGACGCCTTCGTCTTCAGCCGCCTGGCGCCGCTCCTGAAGGCGAAACTCCCCAATGGGAAACTGCAGCAGCACCTCAAGTCCCTGCAGAACCTGTGCAACTACTGCAGCTCCATCCTCAGCCTCTACTTCCCCTGGGACGGAGGTGAGATGTGTGCCCCCCCCCTCACCCAGCGGGCTCAGGGTGCTCGGTGCCCTCACCCTGCCTCTGTCCCCCCAGCGGAGCACCCGGGGAGCACCCCACGGGCTGCAGGCACCGACGAGGCCGAGGAGGACCCCCACAAGCGGCGGAACCAGCTGCTGTCGGTGCTGCTGGGGCTGGCGGCCATGCTGGGCTACGCCTTCCTCAGCGGCATCGTGTCCATCCAGCGCGGCGGCACGGGGCCGGCCGCCCGGCAGCCCATTGCCATGCAGGAGGAGGAGGAGGAGGAGGAGGAGTGAGGAGGAGCCGCTCGCCCGCTCCCTGGGACTGTTTGGACACCGGAGCGTGGCAGCATCGCTCCCTGGGGATGCTCCGCTCCGCATCCCGCCGGGGCCCTGCCGGGCGCGCTGCCACGCCAATAAACGTCCCCGGCATCACAGGCGCCCTCGCGTCCTCCCAGCACCTCGGGTCCCTTCCCAGTGTCCCCACTCTCACAGCCTGGAGCACTGCAGCAGGCACTGATGTGGTGCCCTGTTCCATGCCTGCTCTGTCTCACTACCGCATCCTCCCGCAGCTCCAGCTCCTGTCCCCATCCTCGGGGCTCTCTGGGGATGGGGTGAAGGGCAGGACAAGGGCTGAAAGCATCTGTGAGCATCTCAGCAGCACCCTGGTTCCTTTCCCCGGCAGCTGTGGGGCTGAGCCCACATCTCCCCTGTCCCACAGTATCCCCACAGAGCAGGCAGCAGGTTCGGGGGGGCTGGGGTGTGTGTGCCCCCCTGCCATGCTGCTGCCGGCCTGGCTTTCCTGGGAGCTGTGGCTCCTTGGCAGGATGTGGCACAGCCTCGAAGGGCACGAGGCTGCAGAGCCTGGCAACCCCTGCACCTCCATCCTCAGCCTCGGCTTCCCCTGGGATGGAGGTGAGATGTGTGTGTCCCAGCCTCACTCAGCAGGCTCAGAGTCCTGGATGGGCACCCAGAGCCCCACTCCCTGCTGATGGATGGGTACCCAGAGCCCCGCTCCCTGCTGATGGATGGGTACCCAGAGCCCTGCTCCCTGCTGTTGGATGGGTACCCCGATCCCTGCTCCCTGCTGCTGGATGGGCACCCAGATCCCTGCTGATGGATGGGTACCCAGATCCTGGCTCCCTGTTGCTGGGTGGGCACCCAGAGCCCCGCTCCCGGTTCTGGCCCCGGCGCTCGCAGGGTGCGGGCAGGAGCCGCGGTGGCCGCCGCAGGGATCCCTCCGGGCTCCGTTTGCCTCCATGCGCCCGCCCGCAGGCGGGAGCCGCTGCCGCTGGCTCTGCCGAGAGCGCATCGCGGCCCCCCAGGCTCCGCGGGGCTCCCCCGGGGCTCCCCCGAGCGGCTGCGGTGGAGACGGGGCCAGGAAACAGCGCTCGCTTGTTCGGGGCAGGGGCAGGGGCAGGGGCAGGAGCAGGGGCAGGAGCAGGGGCAGGGGCAGGAGCAGGGGCAGGAGCAGGGGCAGGAGCAGGGGCAGGGGCAGGGCAGGAGCAGGAGCAGGGGCAGGAGCAGGCAGGGGCAGGGGCAGGACGCAGGGGCAGGGCAGGGCAGGGGCAGGAGCAGGGGCAGGGGCAGGGGCAGGAGCAGGAGCAGGGGCAGGAGCAGGGGCAGGGGCAGGGGCAGGGGCAGGGGCAGGAGCAGGAGCAGGGGCAGGAGCAGGAGCAGGAGCAGGGGCAGGGGCAGGGGCAGGGGCAGGGGCAGGGGCAGGGGCAGGGGTAGGAGCAGGGGCAGGGGCAGGCTGGGTCCCCCCCGCTCCCTGCGCGATGGCCGCGGTGCGGTGGGAGCGGAGCCGCGGTGCCAGGAGCGGCGCTGGAGCCTCCCCCCGCGCTGGCGCAGCTCGAGGGGCCCCACGGGGAGGGGATGAGGCAATGCAGCTCCCCCCATCACGTCACTCGGGAACTATGTACCCGGCGCTCCCGGTTCCCATTAGCCGGGAAGCGCCGATGCTGCTCCAGCGGCACAAACCGCAGCCGCCTGCTCCGGCCGGAGCTGCTGACGTCCGGGCCCTGTGCTCAACCCCAGCTCCTCATCCCTGCCAGCTCCTGGTGCCTGCCCAGGGGATGCTGCAGTCGGGGTGACAGCCCTTTGCCTCCCTGCTGCATGCACCCCGACCCCAAGGTGCCCCCAGGAGCCCCATAGGGCTCACAGCAGCCCCAAACCTGCGTCCTCTGGCCCCTGGCACGGTCCAGCAAGGGAGGGCAGAGGGGCTGCAGGCGAGGCTGTAGAAAACCTGTTTATTGTATGAAAACACCTAGAAAAGAGCAGACATCACAGCCCTTGGATCAACCAGGTCCCCAGCCCCACACAGGGGCCTGTCCCCAAGCCCCCCTCCAGCCCCACACTCCCGGTGCCAGCAGCTCCCTTCTCCACCAGCCACATCCATCCTAGGCTGGCTGCTTCCAGAGGAACGTCTGGATGGAGTCACTGAGAGCCGTGGCCTCGAAGAAGCCAACCCGAGGGTCAGAGACCCCGAAGGGCACATCCATGGGGGAGCTGTGGGGATGGCAAAGGGGCCGCAGGTCAGGAGGCAGCCGCGCTCCGGGCTGGGCACAGGGCTCAGGCACTCACCGGTTCAGGACCACCAGGACCACGGCACCATCGGGGCGCAGGAAGGCCGAATGCTCCAGGTCACAGCGGTGGCACCTCTTGGACACAGCCAGCCCCACGCGCTGAGAGCCCTCAGGGATGAACTTGCTGTGGGGACAGCACCAGGACAGGGATGGGGACCCCCTCTCAGGCCGGTGGCATCACCCCCGCCCCACTCCCAGCCGTGCCCCACCTGAAGTGCCCCATGTGGTAGAACATGGGCTGCTTGTAGAAGATGTCCTTGCTGCTGTCCACGATGATGGGGCTGTCCACATAGTTCTTGCTCCAGTTGGGGCCCCCCTTCATATCCAGGGCCAGGTTCCAGTCGGTCCAACCCGTCACGTAGTTGTTGAGGTTCTATGGGGCAGATGATGGTGCTGAGCCATGGAGGGCGCGGGGGGTGGCTCATCCATGTCCCCAGCCAAACCCTACCGTCAGGATGCTGTGGCTGTATTTGCTGCCGCGGTCCCAGCCGCCCAGCACCACCCTGGGCTCCCAAAAGTAGGAGCCGGCGGAAGCCTCGGTGGAGAGGAGGAAGTAATCAGGGAAGAGGTGGTGGGTGATGGACAGCGTGAGGTCGATGGGCGCCAGGAAGTCCAGGTACCAATGGATGCCGATGCCGCTGACGTAGCTGGCGGCCACGGGGTCTTTGAGGACCTGGCAGGAGAAGAGGGTCACCGGTGCCCAGGGCCGGTGGAGCTGCGCGGTGCCAGCACAGTGGCCGTGGGCACTCACCACCTCGGCCCAGTAGGGCAGCATCACCCTCTGGTCATCCAGGATGATGAGGCGCACGTCGCGGTGGGAGCTGTTGGCCAGCGCGGGGCCCAGGTCCCGGGCGATGAAGTCCCTCTGGTGCTCGGGGGAGAAGCCCAGGCACTGGAAGGGGTAGAAGATGATCTCCCCGGCCGTGGGCTCGTTCCCTGCTGTCACTGCCCAGAAGGTCAGGTTGTGCTTGGCGTATTCATCCAGGAACCTGGGTGTGCGGCACACGGTGAAGGGCCCCATTGTGGCAGCGCCGGCCCCATGCCCCGGCACCCACCGCGCTCCGCAGCCCCTCACCGGATGAAGTACTTGGCCCAGGCCTGGTGGTACTTGTCCCCGGGGCTGCCCTTCAGCGTCCCCCTCCCCGTCATGGCGCCGTTCGTCTTCATCCACACCGGGGAGGTCCAGGGGCTGGCGTAGAGCGACAGCGGGCGCTTGGCCATAGCCTGGGCTGCCCGGAGGATGGGGATCTGCGGAGAGCCAGGAGGGCAGCGGGCGCTCGGGGCTTGCCTCAGTGCCAGCACCATGGGCAGCAGGACGAGCGCCCTCCCTCCCCATCAGTGGGAAGGTGCTCCCCTTCCCCATCCCATCCCATCCCATTCAATCCTATCCCATTCCATCCCATTCTATCCCATTCCATCCCATTCCATCCCATTCCATCCCATTCCATCCCATTCCATCCCATTCCATCCCATTCCATTCCATCCCATTCCATCCCATCCCAATCCATCCAATCCCATCCCATTCCAACCCATTCTATCCCATCCCATCCCTTCCCATCCCATCCCATACTATTCCATTCCATCCCATCCCATTCCATCCCATCCCATCCCATTCCATCCCATCCCATCCCATCCCATACTATTCCATCCCATCCCATCCCATTCCATACTATTCCATCCTATCCTATCCATCCCATCCCATCCCATCCTATCCTGTCCCATTCCATCCCATCCCATCCCATCCTATCCCATCCCATCCCATCCCATCCCATCCCACTCGGGCTTACCCTTTGGGACTCACCTTCATCCTCGTGTCCTCCTCCGTCAGATTGAAGTGCTTCAGCTCGAAGTCGCCCTCTGCATCAGCATAGGTGTACAGGCGGACGGAGAAGTCGGTGCTGGCCATGGGGACGCGCACGAGGTTGTACTCGATGCCTGGGGACAGGGCGGGTGGTGATGGACATCCCTGGGGTGTCTTTGTGGGGAGCAGCCCCTTGGCAGGGCTCTCAGAGGAGGTCGGAGCAGCCCCACCGCGCCGCAGCATCGCCCTGCCTCAGGCTCACCCTCCTCGGAGAAGTAGGAGCGGAGCAGGTGATTCTGAGCATCCTTGGACAGGGACAAGATGTTGATGGCAGCCGAGTCTGTGACGGAGCCCCCGAAGCCCTTCACCCTCTGGTACCGCTGCGCCGTGTCCAGGGTGAGGTGGAAATCTGCAGGGGACAGAGAGAGCATCGCAGCCGCAGGCAGGGATGGGCTCCGTGCCCCGCATCCGGCCCTGCGGGTACCTGGGGTGGCTGCGTTGCGCTGGAAGCTCCCCTCGCTGCGCTCCAGCCGCTTCCCGGCCTTGCTGCTCTCGTACCTCACGTAGGTGCCCGGCGCCGGCAGCACCACGGGCTCCAGGGTGTCGCAGTACGCGGCGCTGCAGGCGCACACCGGAGAGCCCTGCCCGAAGTCCTTGGCATCGCAGGGGCGGCCGCCTGCGGGAGGAGGCACCGGGTCGGGCCCGGCTCACCACGGACACCGAACGCTGCCCTCCGGCCCCCGGCACGGCACCAGCACCTACCTGCTGCTCGCCACGCTGCCTGCGCCAGCAGGAGCCAGCCCAGGACCCTGGCACTGCCCGGCCCCATCGCAGCTCTGGGGACAAGAACCAGGCTGGGAGCGGGTGATTGGCGTCAGCAACCGGTTCCCTGGTGGAGCACAAGGGATGGGGAAGGGCTGAGGGAGCTGGGGGGTTCAGATGGGGAAGGGAAGGCTCAGGGGGGACCTGATCATTGCCTACAACTGCCTGAGAGGAGGATGGAGCCGGGGGGGGGGTTCTGCTCCCAAGGGATGGGACAAGAGGAAACGGCCTCAAGCTGCACCAGGGCAGGTTTAGATGGAGCTGGGGACCAATTCCTGCCCCACTGGACCAGGCTGCCCAGGGCAGGGCTGGAGTCACCGTCCCTGGAGGTGTTCACACACCGTGGAGACGAGGCCTCAGTGCTGTGGCTTAGCGGTAACCTTGGCAGTTGGGGCTGGATGAGCTGAAAGGGCTTTTCCAGCTCCACTGACTCTGCGATTCCATGATTCACTTCACTCCCAACACGTCCCTCCCACTCCTTGCTTGTCCCACGGCTGTGCCATGTCCTGATGCTCCACACGTTCCCGGCGCCGCAGCCAACAGCTCCACGCTCCCAACCCCACAAGCGCAGCAGCCAGGGCTTGTCCTCACCCGGTGCTTTGGGGCTCAAGGGTTCCCCCATTGCCCTGCTCCCTGCCGGTCCTCCCACCCCGTCCCAGCAAAGGAGCTTCTCCATGGGGGCATGGGATGAGCCCGCTCCACACCCGGTGCCGCAGGGGAGTGCGGATGGGGACGGTGCGGGACAGGGCGCTCACTGCGCAGGATGGGGCCGGGGCCGGTCCCGCACATCCCCTCCCGCTCCATGGGCACGGCCTCAGCGCGGTCCTGCTCCGGGGCCATCCCCATCCCCACCGGCAGCTCCGGACCCGCGGTACCCACCTGCAGCCCAGGCTCCCTCCGCTGCGTGTCCGTGGGCGCGGGCGGCAGGACCTGCTCCGTGGCTGCGCGGGGTGGGAGGCGACGGCGGCCGGTGGAGCAGGAAAGGTGAGTCGGGCCGGGACAGCCCATGGGGCTCCCAGCTGGAGCCTGGTGATGGTTTCACAACCTGGCTCCAGTGAGAGCTTTCAACACGCGCTGCAGCTCCCAGTGCGGTGCCCCCCCACTGCCACCTCACCCAGGGCCAGCTCAGCGCTCCCCTTGGGAAGAGCCCCCCAGGACACCCCAAAGGGACCGAGGGTCCCATGGGGGCTCAGCCTTGAGGCCCACCTGGCAGCAGCCACCATCCCACTGTGTGTGGCTGCGTCAGCAGAGGGCACAGGCATCACCAGGGCCACTGTGAGGGTGCAGTGGGGGGCTGTGGGTGCTGCCCTGCTCCCCCCTGCTGTGTGGCTGTACCCCCCCACGCCTGCGCCCCAGGGCCTCAATGGGGCTGGGTGGTGCAGGCTGCGGTGGTTTACGATCATCAAAACAAGTCTGGGCTCTGCACCTCCTCCTTTGGGATCTCCCTAATTGCAGGCACCCGCGCATCAGGAGGAACAGGAGCCACGGGAGAGGCAGCCTGGGCCCGGCCCCAGTGATGCCCTGATGTGGGTGGCCAAGGGGACAACCCCGGTGCAGGGGTGATGGAGGCGATCCCTCCGGCCATGGACGTGCTCGGAGCCTGGTGCCACCTCCAGCTGCTAAACCTCTCCTTTGATGGGTTTTCCCCCAGCATCAGCAGCTCCGCTGCCAAGGAGCGCTCTGGCTTTCTCATTCCATCACTTCAAAGATGCTGGTAACGTTCCCAAAAGCTGGAGCGAGCAAACACTGTAACCGGTATTTAAGGAGAGCAAACAGGACGGCCAGGTAATTGTGGGCTGCCAGCTCCACGGCCGGAATAGAGGGGAGTCTGTGCGGAGGGGAGCTGCGGGATGGCATCAGCCCCGCTTGGCGCAGGAGCACACGGAGAGAGGTCCCTTTCCTGCAGGGAGATTTGGGTTTAATCAAGAGGGAAACGAAGCCGGGCTGGGGCAGACCCAGCGCACATCTGAAAGCCATCAGGCGCTGGCGGGCGGCTGCGGCTCCAGCTGCATCCATCGGCTGCGGCAGCCCCACACGGAGCGGCCCTTCCCGAGGAAAACCGCGCTGGTTCCGAGCGCGCAGAGGAAACGCTGACGGGGACGGCGCATACCGGAGCGGCCGCGTCACGGCTCCGCTTGGCGCACGCGAAGGGTCCATGGGAGCCACGTGTGGAAGCGAGGGCCAGGACACGGAGCACTGGGGCTGGGGAGCACCGGAGCCGCAGGGGCGCAGCGCAGGGAGCACACGGAGCCCCTTGCAGTGCTCACCAGCAGCTTCCATCATCGCAGGGGGACCCCCAGAGGTTCCCCCCGCGGCTCAGCACCAGCCCCAGCGCCATCCCGGCCATCACTGCTGCCGCCACAGGTAGGTCTGGATGGAGTTGGCCGGAGCCACCGTCTCGATGAAGCCGACGGCAGGGTCCTGGATGCCAAAGGGCACGTCCCAGCCAGACCTGGGGGCGAGAGGAGCTGAGCGCATCGGCACGGCCGCAGCCAGGTGTCCCCATGGGCCCTGCCCCACTGACCTGTTGAGCACAACCAGGACCAGGGCCCCATCGGGGCGCACGACGGCCACGTGCTCGAGCTGGCAGATGAGGCACCAGCGGCTCCGCTGCAGCCCCACACGCTGAGAGCCCTCGGGGATGAACTTGCTGCGGGGACAGCACCAGGACAGGGATGGGGACCCCCTCTCAGGCCGGTGGCATCACCCCCGCCCCACTCCCAGCTGTGCCCCACCTGAAGTGCCCCATGTGGTAGAACATGGGCTGCTTGTAGAAGATGTCCTTGCTGCTGTCCACGATGACGGGGCTGTCCACGTAGTTCTTGACCCAGTTGGGGCCCCCCTTCATGTCCAGGGCCAGGTTCCAGTCGGTCCAACCGGACACAAAGTGGTTCAGGACCTGGTCAGGAGGGGATGGGGCTGAGCAGAGCTGAGCCCCCAGCCCCGGGTGGGCAGTGCTGGGGGGCCCGTACCGTGAGGATGCTGTGGCTGTAGCGCTCCCCCCGGTCCCAGCAGCCCAGGGACACGGAGAAGCGGAAGGTGAGGAACCCGCTGCAGGCCTCTGTGTAGAGCAGGAAGTGGTGAGGGAAGAGCTGGTGCGTGGCGTCCAGGCTGCAGCGCGGGGGGACGATGCTGTCCAGGTACCAGTGAACCCCGATGCCGGCGACGTAGCGCGCAGCGGTGGCATTGCCCAGGACCTGGTGAGGGGAGCAGAGCAGATGCCTCACACCATGGAATCGGCTGGGTTGGAAAACAACTTTCAGCTCGTCCAGTCCAACCATTCCCATCCCCTGTTCCTTGGGAGCAGAGACCAGACCCCTCCCGGCTCCATCCTACCCTCAGGCAGCTGTAGAGGGCAATAGGCCCACCTGGGATGGATGCATGGATCCCATACCGGGGTCCCCTAGGGCCATGTGCTCATGATGCAGAGCGATGGGTGTGCGGGGCACCCGTGCCCCTCATTGGGCTCCTCACCCAAGCGCAGCCCCCGGTCCCCCCTCCGCATCCCCCTTGCACCGGACCCTGCCTGCTGGGGGGTTAAGGGCAGTTCCCGCAAGCAGCTCTGGGAGCGCTGCGAGGCCTGAGCCGAAGCTGCCGGGGCCCTGCCCGCTGCCAGCAGCTCCTGCAGGAAGCCGGGGCTCGGATGCCACCTCCCGTCCCTGCTGCAGCAGACCCGGTTCTGCTGCGATCCGTGGGGGGGTTTTGCCCCTAAACCCCAGGGATCGGGTGGGACGGGGCAAGGAGGGAGAGGGGTGGCTTTGCCCTTCACCACTTTGGCCCAGTGCGGGAGGTGGATGCGCTGGTCGTCCAGGATGATGAGCCCAGTGCGGTGGGAGCTCTGCGCCAGCGCAGGGCCCAGGTCCTGGACCACGAAGTCCCGCTGCTGCTCGGCCGTGAAGACGATGGTGGGGAACTTGGGGGCGGTGAACAGCGCCGCGAGGGGCTCGTTCTGCACCGTCACGGCCCAGAAAGTCACATTGTGTTTGGCGTATTCATCCAGGAACCTGGCACGGGCAAGGGAGGGCAGCGTCAGCCGCGCCAGCTCTGCCCGCTCCATCCCTGCCTATGCCCGCTCCATCCCTCCCTCTGCCCGCTCCATCCCTCCCTCTGCCCACCCCATCCCTTCCTCTGCCCGCTCCATCCCTCCCTCTGCCCGCTCCATCCCTCCCTATATCCACCCCATCTCCCTGTGCCAACCCCATCCCTTCCTCTGCCCACTCCATCACTGCCTATGCCTACTCCATCCCTCCCTTTGCCCACCCCATCCCTCCCTCTGTCCACCCCATCTCCCTATGCCCACCTCATCCCTCCCTATGCCCACTCCATCCCTCCCTCTGCCCACCCCATTCCTTCCTCTGCCCACCCCATCTCATCTCCCTATGCCCAACCCCATCTCTCCCTCTGACCGCTCCATCCCTGCCTATGCCTACTCCATCCCTCCTTTTGCCCACCCCATCTCCCTATGCCCACCTCATCCCTCCCTCTGCCTGCTCCATCCCTCCCTCTGCCCGCTCCATCCCTCCCTGTGCCCACCCCATCCCTCCCTCTGCCCACCCCATCTCCCTATATCCACCCCATCTCCCTGTGCCCCCCCCATCCCTCCCTCTGCCCCCCCGCCCCATCCCGGCCCCGAGGGGCCCCTACTTGATGAAGTAGTTGGCCCAGGTTTTGTGGTACTTATCCCCCGCCTGCCCCTTGAGCGTGCCCTTCCCGCGGACATCCCCGTTGCTCCTCATCCAGGCTGGGGCCGTCCAGGGGCTGCCATAGAGCAACAGCGGCCGCTTGCTCATGGCTGAGGCTCGGTGCAGGAGGGGGATCTGCAGGAGGGGGCAGAGGGATGGGCTCAGCTCCAGCTGCAGGGATCGGAGCACCTCAAGGGACCCATGTGGAGAACGGCACCAGGGAGCGACACCCCCATGGCACCGTGCCCTGCTCTGCGCCCTGCCGGTGCCAGCCGGGATGCGCCGGGACGTGCCCCGGAGGAGGTGCCAGCTCCCACGGGCTGTCCCCATGCACCCCACGCAGTCACGGGGGTCCCGGCGCACACAGGAGCTCCGGTACGAGGTGCTTCAGCCTCCCTCCCACCTTCATCTTCACATCCTCCTCCGCCAGCTTGAAGTGCTTCAGCTCGTAGTCATCAGCGACATCGTCGTAGCTGTAGGGGCGCGTGGAGAAGTCGCTGCAAGCCATGGGGAGCCGGACGAGGTTGTACTCGATCCCTGTGGAGCAGGAAAGGCATCGAGCAGCCCCGGAGCAGGCAGGAGAGGGGGGTCCCAGCGGTGGGGACCCGGACACAGCCACCGGGCTCTCTGCTCACCCCCCTCCGAGAAGTAGGATTGCAGCAGCTTGTCCTGGGCCGGCGGCGACAGCGCCAGGATGTTGAGGGCAGCGGCATCGGAGAGGGAGCCCCCGAAGCCCTTCAGCCGCTGGTACAAGGTGGAGACGTTGACCGTGAGCAGGAGCCCTGCGGTGGAGACCCCGGCTCAGCGCACGCTGCCTGGGGCCGCGCTGGCACCCGCTCGGCCGCAGCAGGTACCTGGGGCTCGCAGGCGGCGCTGGAAGCTCCCCTCGCTGCGCTCCAGCCGCTTCCCGGCCTTGCTGCTCTCGTACTTGACGTAGGTGCCCGGTGCCGGCAGCACCACGGGGTCCAGCGTGTCGCAGTACGTGGCGTTGCACACACACACCAGGGCATCGCGGCCGAAGGACTTGGGGCTGCAGGGCCGGGCCCCTGGGGAGCATGGGCAGGGGGTGGGCAGAGGCCGGGCTGGGGTTGTCCCAAGCACCCCATTACCTCCCTGCATCCCCATCGCACCCCATCACCTCCCTGCACCCCCATCGCCCCCCATCCCAGGCCACCACCTCGGCCACGCTGCCCCATTGGCACCCAAACACCGTCCCTGCACCCACCTGCAGCCCAGGGCACCGCCTGCAACAGCAGCAGCAGCAGCAGCAGCAGCGTCCAGCCCACGGCACTGACAGCGCCCATGGTCCCTCCGTGTCCCCCCGGGGAGCGGAGCCTGCGGGCGGGGGCACCCCCAGCCCGGGTGGGGATGCGGGCACGGGCTGCGCCCCCCAGCTCCATCCCAAAGCCCCTTGCAGGTGGGTCCATGGCTCCCGGCTCCCACCCAGCTCTGCTCCGACTGCTCCTCCCCAGGCGGCTCCAGCCTCCCCACCTCACCTTGCTCCAAGACCTCCCTCCCCACAGCCTCAACCACCCCCACGGCTCCTCCTCGCTCCCTCCCCACCCCACACCTTCTGCTGGTCTTGGACCATCACCGCCCAGGGCCGGAGCTGGGGGGGGCCAGGAGCCCCTCTCCTGATGCTGCCATGCAAAGGGATCAGGCCCTAGAGAAGAGAGGCAGGGATCCCGTTTCAGCAGCTCTGACCGCATGCAAAGCCCCCCCCCAGTGCAGGGGGATGCAGTTTGGGGCACCCCTGAACCCACTGCAATGCCCTGAAGGAAGCGCTGATTTCTCTCTTTGGCCAGGCAGGGTCTGAATGAATCCCTGCTCTAACAGCGCCTTGGGCCATTTATCCCTGCCCATCACCCCAGTGCCCTCATTCCCCCCATGCATCCAGCGTGGGGAGGGTCCAGAGCCCCCCGGCCAGGATGGAAACGCGGCTGCATCACCCGGTGCAGAACAACCTGGTTGGTGCAGGCACACAGGAGCTGGGGCTGCTGCATCGCTCACCCCACCTCAGCTCATGCATGCAGGTGTAGAGCAAGCAGCAAGCAGTGCAAGACCAAGCAAGCAGAACAAGAACGAGAACAAGCAGCAGCAGCAGCTCCTGCATGGCCTCACCCCCAGCAATAGCAGCCCCATACACACACAGCCAGACCCATGGAGAGGAACCTGCTGCCCCAACCCCGGAGCTCAGCTCCGTGCCTGCTCCCATGGACAGGACGGGACGGGTTCATGCACCCATTGCCTCAGGGTCACCCTCGGCATCTCCCCACAGGGGTGTCCAAGGGGGGAGCCACAGCTCCATCTGCCCATGAGCATCCACACGGGGCTCCGCAGGGTGAACCCCCCTCTCCATCAGCAGCGCTTCCCAATGGATCCTCTCCTTTCCTTGCAGCCCAGGGGCAGCTCTGGGGCCATTGAACCCAGCGGGGTTCCTCCTTCCCTGCAGCGCTGCCCTGCGCTCCCACACCTCCACCGGGGCACCCGGGGACGGGCAGCTCCGGAGGCAGCTCCTTGGCTCGGTCCCGGTGCCCCGTGGCTCTCCCACCCCCGGCTGTGACTCAGCTGATACACCCAAGCTAATGAGCCCCACTTTTGGGAGGGGTTAATGGGTCAGCGCTGCCCCGCAGTGAGCTGAGGCCACCAGCAGCCACCCGCGGTGCTCCCGACGCCCTTTCCCTCCCTGCTTCAGAGCCTATCTCTGCCTGCATCCCACCCAGCAACAGCCCCCGGGCACCTCGGGTCCCCGCAGCTCCTTGGGGTGGAAGCTGTGGAGGCTGCTGGAGCCGGTCCTTACCTACCCTGGGTGATAAGAGCTTCCTGCTGAGCAGGAAAAGTGAGACCCAGGGGAAAGGCAACTCCTCGGCAGGGGGCGGGTGGTGCCGGGCGCCCCCACCAGAGCCTCTTCAAGCCGCTTTGTGCGGGGTATGAGGAGCAATTCCTGCCCCAGAGGGTGCTCAGGCGTTGGCCCAGCGCAGGGCTGCAGGCACCGTCCCTGCAGGTATCGGTTCCCAGCCCGTGGGGACGAGGCCTCAGTGCCATGGGGCGGTCGGGACTGGATGAGCTGAAAGGGCTTTTCCGACCTCACTGATCCTGGGATTCTCTGGCACTGGAGGATTCCCCCCTCTCCATTTGCTCCTTCGGCAGCGAGCACAGGGAAGAGGGCTCGGTCCCGCCGGGATGCAGCACCCGGCCATCAGCTTTTATACCCAAAACGTGAACGGAGCCCGGTGAGTGAGGACGCGGGGAAGCAGCCGCAGGTGGAGGAGCAGCCCCGCACCTGGATGCAGGGATGCAGGGAGCGGGATCCCTCTTGTGGACAAACCGCCCGCGGGCGGGAGGAGCGGGATGCTCCTGCCCCCCTGCCCAGGGCACGATGCGGGGCCCCGGGGGACCCCCCCAGGCTGTGTCCTGGGGATGAGCCAAGCTCCCGCAGTGAGGGAGCTGCGCCCGGCCCACGCAGCATCACCGCCAGCATCGCGCCCGCCTCAGCCCTTCCTCACCCGTGACCTCCCTGCCCTAATCCTCGGCTCAGCAACACCCTCCCGCTTCCTCCCTCCCGCCTGGGTGCGCCCCGCTCGGCGCCCACTCCGTCCTCATCCCTCTTGCTCAAGCGGCCCCGGCTCCATCACGAGGGCCCCGGTGCACCCTGGAGCTGCTCAGGGCAGTGGGGACCGCGTTGTCCCACCCTTACCGGGGGTGGCACCCGCACCCTCGCTGCAACGCCTCAGGAGAACGTTGTGGATGCCCTGACCCCATCCAGGCCCTGCTCATCCCCTGAGCCCAGCACGCTGGGATGCTCCTGCAGCCCCGACCCCATCAGACATCGAGGCAGCATCAGCATTTAATGGCAGAGCAGCAGGAAACTGCGTTCACAGCCTGGGGCAGCTCCACCCCAAGGGGCACCAGTGCCCCTGGACCTCCTACACGTGGCTGGTGCTGCCCAAGCACTCGGCCCCATTGCGGTGGTGGGACTCCTCTTCCACAGTCCCAGGCCCGAGCCAGTGGAGCACCAGCAAAATCCAGCCCCTGGCCAGCCATGGGCATCCCAGCCCCATCACTGCCGCTGCCATAGGTAGGTCTGGATGGAGCTGGCCGGAGCCTCGGCTGCAATGAGGCCAACGCTATCGGCCAGCCCGAAGGTGATGTTCTGTGGGGACCTGGGGGGTGCGGAGCAGCGGGGTCAGCCCTGCAGCAGCTCCATGGGTGCCCAGGGCCCCACTCTGGGGGGGGGCCTCACTCACCGGTTCAGAACCACCACCACCACGGCGCCGTCGGGGCGCAGGAACGCTGTGTACTCCAGCTCCGTCTTCTTGGACTCCTTGGAGGCAACGAGCCCCACGCGCTGGGAGCCCTCGGGGATGAACTTACTGCATGGGCAGGAGCGAAGAGCAAGCCCAGGGAGGGAGTCAGAGCCCAGAAGCGCTCCTGTCCCGACAAGCAGCTCCAGCAACCATGGGGCTGGGACCCAGGCAGCACAGTGGGGGGGACCCCAACTCATGTCGGGGGGGGGGTCCTGACCCACCTGAAGTGCCCCATGTGGTAGAACATGGGCTGCTTGTAGAAGATGCCTTCGCTGCTGTCCACAATGACGGGGCTGTCCACATAGTTCTTGACCCAGTTGGGGCCCCCCTCCAGGTCCAGGGCCAGGTTCCAGTCGGTCCAACCGGACACGAAGTGGTTCAGGTTCTGCAACAGGACAGCCCGGATGGGTGCCCAAGGAGTGGGGTGCGAACAGGAGACCTGGCACAGTGGAACCCTCTGGGGCTTGCCCCACGGGGCAGCACCGGGGCCTCACCGTCAGGATGCTGTGGCTGTACTGGTTCCCCCGCTCCCAGCAGCCCAGGATCACATCCCTCTCCCAGAAATGGGCCCCGATGCACGCCTCCGTGGCCAGGATGAAGTAGTCTGGGAACAGCTCATGAGTGGGCACCACCGTGTCCTTTATGGGCCCGATGAAGTCCAGGTACCAGTGGATGCCGATGCCATGGACATAGCGAGCTGCCTCTTCATCCTCCAGGACCTGGCAGGGAGACGTCAGCCACCACGGGCCCATGGGGCAGCGCACGTGAGCTGTGGCACAGCACTGGGGCTCTGCCCCCTGGGGGTGCTGCTGGACCCCATGCTCACCACTTTGGCCCAGTGCGGGAGGTGGAGGCGGTTGTCATCCAGGATGATGAGGCGGATGCCGCGGTGGGAGCTGTTGGCCAGCGCGGGGCCCAGGTCCCGGGCGATGAAGTCCCGCTGCTGCTCGGCTGTGAAGCCCAGGCACTGGAAGGGGTAGTTGTTGATCAGCCCCGCCGAGGGCTCGTTCTCCGCTGTCACTGCCCAGAAGGTCAGGTTGTGCTTGGCGTATTCATCCAGGAACCTGGGTGCGGAGCAAGGGGTGAGCCCTGGGGTGACCCCGGTGCCGGGTCTCTGCCCCATCCCCGGGGGCTCCTCACCGTACAAAGTAGTTGGCCCAGGTCCTGTGGTACTTGTCCCCCGCCTGCCCCTTCAGGGTGCCCTTCCCCACGAAGGACTCGCTCGTCTTCATCCAGGTCGGGGAGGTCCAGGGGCTGGCGTAGAGCGAGAGCGGGCGCTTGCTCATGGCCAAGGCTCGGTGCAGGAGGGGGATCTGTGGAGCAGGCAGAGGGATGGGCTGAGCTGAGCCCCTGCACTCCCCATCCCCTCCCGCTGCTCACCTTCAGCTTCGTGTCCTCATCTCGCAGCCTGAAGTGCTTCAGCTCGTAGTCAAAGGGAACATCATCATAGGTGTAGGCGTGGAGGGAGAAGTCGCAGCTGGCCATAGGGAGCCGGACCAGGTTGTACTCCAGCCCTGCAGGAGCGGGACAGGCAGAGGGGGGCAGTGGCACCGGAGGACACCCACGCAAGGTCCCGGTCACCACCCCGATGTTCTCACCCTGCTCAGAGAAGTAGGAGCGCAGGAGATGATCCTGGGCTGTTTCGGGCAGGGACAAGATGTTGATAGCGGCTGCATCAGTGACGGAGCCACCAAAGCCCTTCACCTCCTGGTACCGCTGCGCCGTGTCCACGGTCAGGACGAGGTCTGCAGGAGGGAGCCGTTGGGACGGCCGGCGGCAGGCAGGGTCCGGCCCATCTCCCACAGCCACAGCAGGTACCTGGGGCTCGCAGGCGGCGCTGGAAGCTCCCCTCGCTGCGCTCCAGCCGCTTCCCAGCCTTGCTGCTCTCGTACTTGACGTAGGTGCCCGGTGCCGGCAGCACCACGGGGTCCAGCGTGTCGCAGTACGTGGCGTTGCACACACACACCATGGCATCGCGGCCAAAGTACTTGGGGCTGCAGGGCCGGGCCCCTGGGGAGCACGGGCAAGGGGTGGGCAGCGGCTGGGCTGGGGTTGTCCCAGTACAGCGTCCTGTCTGCCCTGGGTGCTGCCTATGCCCCTATGATAGGGACCCCATCACTGCCCCATTGCCACCCCATCACTGCCGTGTGATAGGCACCCTGTCACTGCCTCAGCCACCCCATCACTGCCCCAGCCACCCCATCACTGCCCCATTGCCACCCCATCACTGCCCCAGCCACCCCATCACTGCCCCAGCCACCCCATCACTGCCCCAGCCACCCCATCACTGCCCCGGCCACCCCATCACTGCCCCAGCCACCTCATCACTGCCCCATTGCCACCCCATCACTGCCCCATTGCCACCCCATCACTGCCCCAGCCACCCATCACTCCCAGCCACCCCATCACTGCCCCAGCCACCCATCACTGCCCCAGCCACCCATCACTCCAGCCACCCCATCACTGCCCCATTGCCACCCCATCACTGCCCCAGCCACCTCATCACTGCCCCAGCCACCCCATCACTGCCCCAGCCACCCCATCACCGTTCCAACCACCCCATCACCACCCTGCCCACCCCATCACCACCCCGGGTGCCCCAGCTCCGGTGCTGCCCCTGGTGCCTCCACTCCCCCAGCTCACCTGCAGCCCAGCGCACGGCCACCAGCAGCAGCCACAGCCGCCAGCCCAGGGCACCGGCCCCGGTGGCCGCCATGGCCCCTTCCGTGGCCCCAGGCAGGTCCCGGGGTACGGAGCCTCCTGTCCCGGTGTCACCCGGGTCCGGTCCGGTCCGGTCCCACCGCGCTGGCTCCCGCCGAGCCCGCAGCACCGGGCCCGCTGCCGGCCGAGCCTTTAAAGGCGCCCGGGCTTCCCGTCCCGCCCCCGCCCGGGGCGCCGATGCAGGAACGGCACCGGCTCTGGGCGGGCTGGGCCCCGGTTGGGCAACGCAGCGGGCGCGGGCCCGGCCCTACCCCGCGACGGTAACGGGGCCGCGGAGCCGGGGGAGCCGCACGGACGGCGGGGCCGCTCAGCCCCTCCCCGGGCACCGGGGGGGAACCGGGGGGGAACCGGGGGGCTCCGAGCACCGCTCGGGCGCGGCCCTGGGTCCCCGCTGCTCCCGCCGGTACCGGCCGCCCCGCCCGTCCAGCGGGCACCAGGCGCCCGCCCCGCCCGTCATATGACCAGCATCAGCTGACCCGTTCCCGCCCCTTCCCCCGCGGCCCCGGCGGCACTGCCCCGGTGGAGGCGGCGATCACCTTTATTCGGTGTCTAGCGAGGGCCCGAGCGCTGCGGGACCGGCCCCGCAACGGGCAGCAGGGAACGGGCACGGCCGGCGCGGGGACCGGTGCGGGGCAGGCACGGCCGGCGCGGGGGTACAGGCACAGCTGGTGCAGGGCACAGGCATGGAGGGGCAGGGCGCAGGCACGGCTGGCGCAGGGCACGGGGCTGGGGACGCGGCGGGCACGGGGCATGCACCGCAGGGGACCAGCCCCTAACCCTGGGGAAGGGGCAGCGGAGCAGGGCCCGGCCCCGCCGGGGGGGGCAGCCACGTCCGAGGGCCCTGGCGCGGAGCGGGGCCCCCCTTTGGGGCAGCGGGGGACGGGGACCCCGCGCTCAGAGGATGCTCTCGTTGTCCTTGCAGGTCCCACTGAGGCTCCGCGGGCGGCCCCGCTCCAGCCGGCGGGCGGACAGGAGGCGGCGCAGGGACGAGGTGGAGCTCAGGTCCCCGCAGCTCCGCAGGTGGATGCCGTCGTGGGGCCGCTCTGCTCCGGGCCAGGCGCTCCAGGGAACCTGCAGCCCCATAGGGACAGGCTGCAGCCACGGGCAGGGTGCTCCAACCCGGCCTTGAGCACTGAAAGGGATGGGGCAGCCGCAGCTTCTCCATTCAACCCTTTCCAGTTCCCCAGCACCCTCACAGGGAAGAGCTTCTGCCTTAGATCCAACCTGAACTTCCCCTGTTCCAGTCTGAACCCATCACCCCTTGTCCTGTCGCTGCAGTCCCTGATGAAGAGCCCCATCGGGGCCTCCTGGGCTGCGCAAGGTCTCCAACATCCCTCAAGCCAAGGCTGGGACATCCCAGTGGCTGTTTCCGGGCTGTGGTGACTCAGGGGCAAAGCCAAAACCATTGCGACACGCAGGGTTTTCCCACTCGTGGCTACAGCTGGGGACTAAGGGATGGAGCTGTCACGCCAGGGCAAGGGCAGTGACACAGGAGGGAAGCTCCGGCCACAGCCCCTGCCTGGAGCATGCCGACACCATGGGGTGCACGGCGGGGGAACAGAGACCCCGGAGGTGCTGGAGTGAAGATGGGGAGCAGGGAGAGGAAGAGGCTGTGGCTGGGGCCCACTGGGACTCACCTGCTTGTGCCCCTGGGAGCTGTGCCCGGGCACCTCCGCGCTGCGCTTGGGTCTCTGCAGGAACCTGGCCACGAGCCCGCGGGTGCCCCTGCACACCTTGAGGTCCCCCAGGGACCGGGTCGTGCTCGTGGAGAGCTGCTCCGTCACCTTGGAGGGCAGCGCCTTGCTCTTCCCTGCCGAGCCGGCCCGGAGCAGCGGCGGGGAGGCACAGTGAGAGCGGCGGCACAGGCAGGCCTCGGAGCACAGCCCTGCGGGGACAGCGCCATCGCACCCGGGGAGCCTGCTCCCGATGGGGCCTCTCCCCAAGCCCCAAAAGGATGAGCCTGACCCGCACGGGCTACAGGAACACCCCCCCTCCCTTGTATAGCCCAGTCCATCCCAGCACCCTGACCTGTATCCGCCGAGGAGCTGGACGTGGTGTCCTCCAGTGCTTTGGTATAAAGTACTTCCCTGAAATCTGCGGGGAGCAGAAAGAGGTCTCAGGCTTTGGCAGCATCCTGCATCCCTGTGCGGAAACCAGCACCAGCCCGGGCAGGAACCCCTCCTCCCAGCACAGCAGAATCCCCCTGCCATGGGCACGGACCCCTTCCACTGGAGCAGGATGCTCCAAGCCCCTGTGTCCAACCTGGCCTTGAGCACTGCCACGGATGGGGCATCCAAACCTTCTCCATTCAACCCACCCCAGTGTCCCAAAACCCTCACAGGGAAGAGCTGGTGCCTAAGATCCCATTTCCATCCCCCCTCGGGCAGGTTCAAGCCATTCCCCTTGGCCTGTCCCTCCAGGCCCTTGCCTAAAGCCCCTCTGCAGGTTCCCTGTAGCCCCTTTAGGCACTGGAGCTGCTCTGAGCTCTCCCCTGCTCTCAGGGATCAAACCCCAGGGTCTGGAGCAGCAGGAGCAGGGATTTAACCTCACTTAACCTGAATCAACACCGTTTAACCCAGCCCCACCGCACGCCTCCGCCGCACCAGGCGCGCATCCCCCTCCCGCGCCCATCGCCGCCTACCAGCGCGTCCGGCCGCGGGGACGCCGGGGTCGCTGCGCGCCCTCACGAGCGGGCGCGGGCTCGGGCTCGGCGCGGGGCCCGGGGACGCGGGGCAGGAGGTTTCGCTGTTGCGCCGGAGCTGCCCGAGGCGGCCGGGGCCGAGCCCCGAGGGGCGGCCGCGGCCCCGCAGCGCCCCCTTGTCCTTGAGCCGCACCTCGGGGAAGCAGGGCCCGGCGCAGCGGGACAGCCCCTCCAGGCGGTTGCAGCTGTGGGTCACGGCTCCCCCCGCCAGGACCCCGTCGTGGCCCGGTTCCGCCGCCGTGGAGCAGGAGTAGGAGCGCTCCCCCCGCACCCGCGGCTGCGGCACCTCCTCGAAGGGCCCCTGCAGGCCCAGCACGGGGCTGCGCGGGTGGTGGCTGCACTGCACGCAGTCCACGCTCAGGCAGTAATCGGCGCGGCTGCGCTGGATGGAGCGGAACAGCACGAAGTCCACGGAGCGCATGGAGCCCTGCAGCTCCAGCAGGCACGAGTCCTCCGAGGGGCTGCTGTCCCCCGGGATGTCCATGATCTCGGACATGATGAGGGACCCGCTGTCCATGGACACTGCAAGGAGCGGAGCGGGGGGGCAGTGAGGAGCTGTCCCCCCCACGGCCCCAGTCCCGTTCCTCAAGGGGGCACAAGCACCTTCTCCGCTGAGCACGATGGAGGGGACCCGGTCGCAGGTGCAGGTGTGTGAGCCCTCCGTCAGCGGCAAGTCAAAGAGGGTGGCCTGTGGGGTGACACAGTGAGGGCGCAGGCAGAGCAGGAAGGAGCCCAACGCGCCTGCCCCATCCCCTGCCCACATCTCCCACCTGGCTGTCCCCCCGCAGCCCCATCACAGTCTCATAGGAAGGGGGGAAGTCAGTCGGGTAGAGGGGCACGGGGCTGTCCATGGAGCCATTGTAGGTGATGCTGTGGAGGCACGGGCAGAGAAGCGGTGTTGGGTGGGCCAAGCCCTGCCTGGGGCTCACGGCCCCCCGGCTCCAGCAGGCAGGTACCTCTGCGCATCGGTCTCCGAGCTGCACGTGTACTCGGGGGGGTAGTAGGGGGGCGGCGGCACCGGGGGCACGAACTCCTCGAAGTCCATCATGCTCTGCAGAAAGGGGTCGGGGGGGGACGTGCATTCCAGCGTCACGGAGCTCGAGCGCTGCGGGACCAGCTGCAGGGAGAGCGGAGGAGGAAGAGCTGGGACCCCCTGCACAGGCATCCGGCAAGGGATGCGCATCCCGAGCCTTAATCCGGATGGGGCCGGGTCCTGCCCTGGCACCCCGGGGAATGCCGGTCCCAGCGCCGTCTGCTCCTGGGCCAGGGCTGGGACTCACCACATGGACGATATCGAGGGAGAAGATCTGGATGCAGCACACGACAGCAGAGAGCGTGCAGACGACGGTCGAGAAGACGGTCAAGCCGCAGACACTGAAGAGGAGGTCCTGGGGGGCAGCGAGGTGAGCACACGCTCCCATAGAGCGCAGTGGGGTGCCCCAGGGAGCCCTGGCCCCGCGCGGGGTCCCCACCTTGAGCGCCGTGCGGATGCTGCGGCAGTCGGGGTTGGGGAACATGGTGAGCATCTCGCTCTGCCGGCTGCAGGAGGCGGGGGGCGGCTCCGGGCGCGGCTGGCAGCAGACACACGAGTCCCTCTCCTGGGCACAAGGAGCACAGTGAGGGGTACCCCGGAGAGCCCCGCGGGAGCCCTGCCCCACAGCTCCCCCCGTGTCCAGAGCCCGGCAGCCAGGGCTGAGCTCTGCCCCACTGCCCCGGGGCCCATCGCACCCTCTCACAGGCCTGCAGGGACTTCACGAGCTGCGCGTTCTGGCAGGACAGGATGGACCCGGCGAGGCTCAGCATGATGCCCAGCACTGACAGCAGCGTGAAGAAGGTGATCTGTGGGCACAGGGACCTGCTGCGTGCGGCCACGCATCCATCCACAGGGGGACGTGGGGTGCTCAACGCCTCGCTCTGCCCTCCCTGCCCTGCTCCCCCCCAGCACCTACCACCAGTGTGAGGGGCCGCTTCCAGGAGATGATGCCGACAAGGCCGGACAGCGCCAGCTGCAGATGCACAGGCCCAGGGGTGAGGATGAGGAGGGGTCTCTGCCAGGCAGTGAGGCCCAGAGCAGGCCCCCAAGCCCCTGGGCAGAGCCCCCTGAGCCCCGTGGGCCTGGAGCCAGCCCAGGGCCATTCAAGCAGCTCCAGCGCTGCTGCAAGCCGGGCGAAACTGCTGATTCAGGGCACCGGGGAGCCTGGGGACTGCGGGCAGCTCCGCGCCGCAGGGGCACTGTGGGGCCTGTGGGGGTCCTGCCCTCACCCCACACACACAGCGGGCAGAGCACCCCAGTGTGGGGCTGGGGAGCAGGGCAGGGCTGCTCGGTGTCCCCCCCCCCCCACTGCAGCAGCCCCGCTCCCATCCCTCCCAGCACAAACTGCTCAGGGTCTGGATAGAACCGAGCCCCCCCCCCCCCACTGCTCCTGGGGTCCCCATCCCACATTGTCACCCTGGAGGAAGCCTTGGGATTCTCCCACAATGCACCTCGGCAGGCACAGGCGGGGGATGGGGGAGCAGCGGGGCCACACTCCCTTGGGACAGGGCTGAAGGGACCCGGCTGGCCCGGACCCTCCCCGGACTCACCGAGAAGCCGGCCCAGGAGGGGCAGGAGTGGCGGATCCTGGCGGAGGGCGTGATGGTGGCGGCCACCAGGCTGAAGGTGACGATGAGGACGCCCAGGATGACTTGGATGAAGCCGAGCACCAGCAGGATCTGCAGCCAGGTCCGCTGGGCGCGGAGGTGGGTGAGGCTGCGGGACGTGCGGCCGGTCAAGGAGCGGCTGGACTCGCTCGGGGAGGGCATGGCTGCCCCGGGCGGCGAGCGGCGGCTGCGGGCCCCGGAGCCCCGGGGCAAGCGGCGGCACCGCGCCAGGACAGCGCCGGCCCCGGGGGAAGCAGGAGCGGGCGCTCTGCGGGAACCGGCCGGGCTCCACCTTTCGCCTCCCGGAGGATGCTGACGGCGGCGCTGCCCTGGAGCGGACCCCGCCTCACCGGTACCTCCGCATCCCGGGCAGAGCCGGGCCTACGGCTCCCGGCGGGCGGCCCCGCGGCTTCCTCCTCTCTCGCCGCCCCTGTCTCGCCGGGGCCCCGCGGGGGGGCTCATAGCGCGGTGCCGAGGCCGGGAACCGCCGCCCGGGCCCCCGGGGCAAGGCCGGGACTCGGGGGCCCGGGCGCCGCCCAGGAGCATCCTCCGCGGGGCGGGGGTGTTCCCGCTGCCCGGAGCGCCCCCGGTGCCGGCCGCTGCGCATCGCCCCCCGCCGAGCCCCGGCTCTGGGCTCGCTCCCGCCCCGCAGCGGGGCCGCGCCCCCCCCCCCCCCATGGCACGCCGGGAGCTGGAGCGCGGCTCGGCCCGCCCCGTCGGGGCCCCGGTCCCGCCCCCCCCCCCTCCCCCGCTCCGCTCCCCCCCCCCCGGTCCCGGTGCACGGAGGCACGGAGAGAAACTTCATTTATTCCTTAAATAAAAGCCGAGGGCGCGGCGGGCTCAGCAACGCGCGGGGCCGCGGCGGGAGCAGGGACCCCCCCCCCGGCCCAGAGGCACCGGCCCCGTGGATGAAGGCACGAACCCTCCCGCCAGCCCCGGAGCAACAGGGACGAGGCCGGGGCACTGGGAGGAGATGGGGCAAAGCAGAACGAGCAGGACCCAGCCCAGGGCTCCCCGAGGGGATGGGGGGCAGTAGGGGGGGGCACAGGCTGCAGGGGAAGAGTGCTGGGCAGGGGGGCAGAAGGTGATGAAGGTGAGGGGGGGTTTAGGGGTACCAGGGTCCTTCCTTAATGCCCAGCCCAGCTCTGGGCTCCACCACAGGCCTGGCTCAGCTGCTGTGGGGCACACGGCTTCAAGGCCAGCAGCCCCCCCCCACCGCTGCCCGGGTGCATCACACGCTCCTCATTCCTGTGCCTGGAGCAGGCTCAGCTGTAACAGACTGGGGGACAGGATGGGAGCTGCCCCCCCAGCTCAGCCCCACCACCACCAGAGCAAGCTCCTGGGGAAAGCAGGGGACGGACGATGCTCCTGGCAGAGAATCGGGTCCTGCAGCAGAGAGAAGGCAGGGAAAAGCCTCCAGGGAGAACCTGGGGGGGCACAAGGGGAACCCAGGGCAGACAGATGGGGAAACGGGAATGTCCAAGGAATGGGAGCAGCCATTTCGGTCCCTGTCACACATCTGGAGGAGCCTCCTGCCCCCAGCAGCTCAGTGCTGGAAGGGAGGGCGATGAACAAACACAGGGCTTGGCCACAGCACCTCCCACCCCGCTCCATCCCCAGTCCGCTGAGGGGAGGGACCAGCACAAACCAGCGCAGCCTCCATCCGTGAGGAAAGGGGTTAGAGCAGCAAACGCTTCGGGCACCAGCACTTCCAAGCTGGGATGAGGCAGCCTCTGAGAGCTGATGCAGACACACGGGGATCCAATGACAGTGCAACCTGGATCTCCTCTCCCTCGGGAAGAGCCCACGTGCGACGAGGAGCCGGGGCCCTGCCTTAGGGCGCCCGGAAGGCGTTGGTGGCAGCGCCCGCAGCCGCGTTGGCCGCCGCGTTGCGCACGGCCTGGTTGGAGAAGACCCCGGCAGCAAACTCCTCCTGTGCCTTCTGGAAGCTGGCGCCCGTGCGGCGGTACAGGGAGTGGATCTGGGATTGAGGAGGGGCTCAGGGCCAGGGCACCCCAGCGGGCAGAGCTCTGTCCCTGTGCCTGCTCCAAACTCACCTTTTTCAGCATGATGATGCCCAGCACAGCCACTGCTGTGAAGGACAAGGACACCAGGATCATCATCACCGCCACGGCCGTGTTCTTCCGCAGCGCTATCAGGCTCAGTATCCAGCCACTGCAACATAAGAGGCAGTTGCACAGCACAGGTCCCCTCTTGCCCATCTGCCTCCTCTCTTGCTGGAGTACTCGGCTGGCCAGGGCTCCCCAGCTCTGCCCCACACACACCTGAACCCCCAGTTGGGGATGCCAATGGCCTGCAGCACATACATCACGTTCTGGGCAAAGAAGACGAAGAAGAAGACAAAGAAGTTGAAGGAACTGTCACTCCTGGGAGAAAGAGACAGGCGAGGTCAGGCCACAGGGAAGAACCCCCAGAACCTCCCTTACAGCAGGGGGGGGCACAAGGAGAACACAAAGCTCAGTGCAGAATCACAACAGCCGCAGACCCAAAGGCCACCAAAGGGGCTGGGCACCAACCTGTGCCACCGAGCAGCCCCATGCCCCCAGCTCCAAGCCCCAGCCGTGCAGCCTCCCCACAGCGCTGCTTTGCTGGCCTGGGAGCAGATACACACCTGAAGGCTTTGTACATGGGCCTGTACCAGCAGACAAAGGAGCAGGGCGTGTAGAGGAGAGCCCAGAGGATGGAGAGCCCGAAGCCAGAGCCAGACGAGGGATCCACACAGAACCAGGCCAGCGAGGACAGGAAGTTCAGGAAGAGAGCAATGGTGCTGGCTGAGAGAGAGGGGATGTCAGTGGGGCACCGCAGTCCCACACACAGGCGTTAACCCCAGCTCCTCCAGAGCACACGGGACACGCGCTGCCCTGCTCCCCGCCGGGCCTCACCCATCCACAGGTAATACATGGTGGAAACGGTCTTCTGGAAGTCGGCGGGGATCTCCACCGGGATGTCCTGGTAGAAGCAGGGCTTCACGGGGCAGAAGGACGGCAGCGGGGGCCAGTTGTTGAGCCTCGCTGCAGGGGAAGGAGGCGACAGGCAGAGAGCGGTGGTACCGGTGCAAGGGGACCCCGAGGGGACGGTCCCTGCCCGGCCCCCCCGGCCACTCACTTGCGGTGCCGCCGAGGGCCGCGTTCTGCAGCTCCCTCTCCCTCCGGTCCAGCTCCTCCGCCTTCCGGTTCAGCTCCTCCTGCCGCTTCAGCAGCTCGGCCGTGGCGGCCGCCGCCGAGGCCTGCGGGGCGAGGGGGGAAAGGAAGCGCCTGCTCCCCGCGCCCTTCCCGCGGAGGCCGCGCCGCCCGCCCCGGTACCTGCGTGCCGTAGGAGCCGTAGTTGCGGGGCTCGGTGGGGCTGGTTCTGCGCGGGGGCTGCGCGGCCGGGGCCTGGTACGGCGGCGGCGGCTGCGGGGAGCAGAGGAGCGCGGTGAGGGCCCGGCCGCCGCATCCCGGCCCCCCCCGCCCCGCCCCGCCGGGGCCTCACCGTGCCGCTCTCGAACGGGTTGTACGCGTCCAGCGCCGCGCTCTCGGGACCGGGCCCCGGCGGCAGCAGCGCCGGGTCCTGCAACACAGAACGGGCGGGGTGAGGCGGCGGAGGGAGGGAGGGAAGGAAGGGGGATCCGCGCCGCCGCTGCCCCAGCCCCGCACCTGGAACGGGTTATCCGGTAGCACCGCGGGGCCGCCGCGCTGGGCCATGGCGCGACCGGGACCGGGACCGGGGCCGCCGCCGCCGCAGCCCCGTCAGCCGCAGCCCCGCCTTCCGCCGCCGCCGATTGGCTGCCGCCCGTGACGTCACCAGCGCCGGAGAGCTCTGCGGCAGGGGATCCTCTGCACACGCGCGGGGCCGGGCACGTGATGCAGAGCTGTCCGGTAACGGGAACCGGCGCCCCCATGACCCCCCCCTCCCCAAGCACCGTGTGCCAGCGCCCCAGGACCCTCACGGGGACGATTCTGCCTCAGACCCCTTCTCCATCCCCCCTCGGGCCGGTCAAAGCCGTTCATTCCCTGCTCCCGTCCCCGCATCCCCTGCCCAAAGCCCCTCTCCCGGTTTCCCGGAGCCCCTTTAGGTCCCACACTAGCCCAGGTGAAGCCAGGCTTCCCCTCCCTCCCTCTGCGCGGTGCCAGGACAGCGTCTGCCACAGGCAGATGGTGCCACAGCCAAGTGCTAAGCTCAGAACAGACCAGGAGCGCTCCGTTCTTGCCACCCCCCAGCACGGCCCTCCCAGACACCCTGGCAAAGCACCTGCACTGAGCTGGAACCACGTCTGAAACAACCCCAGCAAGTCCCAGGGCAGCACCGGTAAGACCCAGAGACACACACTGAGGTGGGTGCTTGACATCCCTTTTCCTACAACCATCACCGAGAGCGGCTGCTGCTGGCTCAGACCCAGACCTGGGGCTTTATTCACTTCATATTTATTTCTCCACAAAGACTGTACAAAATCCTTATAAAACTCTGGTGTGGGGATGGGCTATGACATTGATCCAAAAAATAATTCCCATGCAGTCCCACCAGTTTCATAACTTACAAGGAAACAGATAAGCTACAGCGAGCTGCGAGTCCTGGAGTATGTACACCGAGGAGGGCAGGAGGAGACAGAGCAACACGTGAACAGAGGTATTTACATATGGACACACAGGCCCCCTCACCTCATGATAACGGCAGCAGCAACAGTAGGAGGTTGGGCCCGTGGTGCTCAGAGGCCGCTATAGAATATGGGCTATTTACAGTATCTCACATATTAACAGCTTTACAAACTTGTCCAGGGGAGTTTTACTCGTGTATAAAAAAAAAACCAAACCAAAAGCACCAAAAGTCTGAATAGAAATGACACAGGCCTCCACGGGGGCTAGAATGTGAGCGCAGGCTGGCGCCCGGGCCGTCACCGGCTGATGTCCCTGCTCGAGTCCCACAGTTTTGTGCTGGGCTCCATCTCCAACATGTCAAAGAAGGGGTGTTTGAGGGCTTCGGCCAGGGTGAGGCGCTTGGAGGGCTCGTACTCCAGCATGCTCTCGATGAGGTCAAAAAGGCGGTGATGGTCCTCAGCCTCCGAGGTCAGGTATCGCTGGGCAGATGGAAGGGGAAGGTTAGTGCTGAGGATGCTGCATGCAGCCCGCTCACAGGGCTCTCCCTGGGCTCAGTGGCCAAGACGTGGGGAGGTTTGGTTTGTTCAGACCATCACTAATCCCAGACCTGAGCTCTACGCTTTACCAAGCATGCAACTGCTGAGCTCCCCCTGCCATCTTTCCCCACACACTTCCCAAGGTCTCCATGCCCTCCTCCTCCACCTCAGATTACGCTCAGGCTGCTGCAGCCTCCCTCATTTATGTCTGGGATAGCCAATGCTCCATCAGGAACGCACTGCCCTGACTCTCTTGGTGGCCCAACCTTGCCCCCAGGAAGATCTTCCCAAGTGGGGCACGCACTAAAAGACTCTGCAATGAGAAGAGGCTGCAGCAAGCAGGATTCCTGCCCACCCCTCCTTACCCGCAGTGGTTTGCAGTTCTCCCTCACGTAGCGCCCAGCAGAGGTGTTCTCATCCCAGTCCAGGCGGCCATGGTAGAAATACTTCTGTTTCCTGCCAGAGAAAGAGGTGGGAACAGGTTACCCCCACCACCAAATGCCTTGCAGCAACAGCAACACGCTCAGCAGGCAGCTTCAAAGCTCAGCCCCTCAGAGAAGCGCTACCCTGAAGCAGGAGCAAGCCTGTGGTACCCAAGCAGCCTTGCCCACCTCGTCTTCCGGATCATCCGAGACGGAATTGGCCCCAAGATCCTCTCCATCATGGCCAGGTGCTCCCGGTTGTCATGCGTCTGAGAGGGAGAAACATAAAGGGAAGGCATGGAACAGATTCTGATCATTCCAGCTCCAGCCCTGGGTACTCCCCTGCTCAGAACCCCTTGCTGGGCAACACCTTGGTTGTCTCTACAAGACTGCAGTGATGGAGGGAAGCCCATGATTCCCAGAGGCTCCTGGCTGTACTGGGGAGCAGCCAGCATCCTCTTTCACCAGTTGTGAAGTAGCCATACAGCGTACAGTTCTCACCTGAAACAGGGTGAAACCCACATAATACTCAAAGATGATGCAGCCAATGCTCCACACATCACAGGGCTGGCTCCAGCCAAGCTCTAGAAAACAATGTGTTTTAAGTAAAAGATCCAGTTACAGCCTAAGATTCCAAATCCCTCTCCCTTTTGGAAACAAACAACTGGAAAACCAATCCCCATTCCCACCAGGCTCCTGATACACTGGTGCCAATACACCATTGCTGGTGGCAATGCCAAAACACCAACTTAGGAGTTGCTGCCTGCCCCCCCAGAAAAGAGCACTGCAGAGCATGTTACATAAAGTGTTTCTCATCTCCCAGGGTAAACCCAGAACAGCTACTGAAGGATGCTCCTTAATCCAGCAGGCAGCACCCAGTGCCCCAGGGGATACGCCTGCCTCTGCAGAGAGACCAAGGGGAACGTACCCAGGATGACTTCTGGGGCTCGGTAGTGCCTGGTAGACACAATGGTGCTGTGATGCTCATGGTCAAACGTGGCGCTGCCGAAGTCCACCACTCTGATGGCTGTGCTCTTCACGCTCCGCTCATCCCGCTTCTTCCCAAGGGAGAACAGCATCAGTTACTCAGGAGCTCCAGGATGTAGACTCAGCCCCTTCCTTACACAGCCAAGGCTTCACCACAGGGCAGGGGAAGGCTTCAGAGGCTACACTAGCACAGCCCCAAATGAGCTCCCACCATCGGCCAGGTAAGCCTGGGGTCCCTATGGCTCCCCCACAGGCTACAGACAGCTCATGCAAGATACAGGCCCTGAATGCGTGCATGAACGTAGCTGGTGAGCCCTGTGTCTCCTGGCTCCACATTCTGACTCCTCCCTCCTGCTGCTAAGGCCAGGGAGAGCAGAACCCAAGGCACGAACCCCAGAAGCACCCTTACCTTTTCCAGGTTATAGGAGAGCTCATAGTCGGAATTCACAAAGAGGATGTTCTCTGGCTTGAGGTCGGTGTGGGTGAGTTTGTTGTCGTGCAGAACTGAGGGGCAAACAGAGGCGGGTGATGGAGCAGAAGCGAAGTGAGGCTACACCCACCCAAAGAGCAAGCATCACTGATTCAGGCTGCTCACACTGGCACCAGTTTAGCCCACATTTAGAATGGGGTGTGAACAGGCTGCTCCAGGCCAAGATGATTTGTCAGAAGCACATTTATCATACTGATCACCCAAACGCGTAGGGGGGTGGATGCTGAAGTGCTCTGAGCTCCTGCCAGCCCCCATGCATCGGAAAACATTACAATCAGGAAAACAAGCATCCCTTCCAAGCATGCAGTCACCACTGGAGGCAGTGCAAGGCTTAGGCTCAGAACTGGCGCTGCTGGGAGCTGCACAGCCCTCCAGGTCAGCCAAGGAGCAGTGGAGAAGGGCAGCCAGCACTTACATTTCACAGCCTGGCACACCTGGTAGGCCATGTGCCGCACTTGGTGGATGGGGTAAGGCAGGTAGTTGTTGTCCTTCAGGAAATCAAAGGTGCTGAGCCCCAGGAGCTCGAAGGAGATGCACATGTGGCCGTGGTAGTCAAACCAGTCAAACATCCTGACGCAAAGACTAAGAGCAAAAACACGAGGCTTGAGACAGAGCTGCACCAACCACCCCACTGTTATCCCTGTGCCTGCTTCCTCCTTCCCTTCTCATCCCACAGCAAGCCAAGATGCCTCCAAAACGTAGCCACACACAGGTTCAGTCACCCACTATCAAATACCTCTCGCGTTCCAGCCCTGCAACTGCAAGGCTTCCCCTTCCCTCCTAACAGCAGGAGCCCACTCACTTGGTGTTCTCGGGATCCTTCTCGTTGATCTTCTCCAGCACGTTGATCTCCAGCCGAGCAGCCTCCTTGTACTTCTCGACGTTTTTAATGATTTTGAGAGCAACACGGGCAGCAGCCCTGGGGGAGAAACGGGGATAAAGCTCGAGATCAACCCTGAGCTGGGCCACGGAGCCCGTGCCCTCCAAAAAGGGCTTTCTGAATCTGCCTCACCCTCTGCAGCACAGCCTTCCACCACCCTTCCCAAGCCAGGAGGTGGCTTTTATTAAGGGCTGTCATAGAATGGTTTGGGTTGCAAAGGAACTGGAGATCATCCAGTTCCAACCCCCTGCCATGGGCAGGGACACCACACACTAGACTGTGTTGCTCAAGTCACTGTTCAGCCTGGCCTTGAACACTGCCAGGGATGGAGCATTCACCACTTCTCTGGGCAACCTCTGTCAGCACCTCAGCACCCTCACAGTAAAGAATTTCTTCCTTATATTCAATATGAGCTGCCCCTCTTTCAGTTTGAACCCATCACCCCTTGTCCTGTCATTCCAGTCCCTGACAAAGGTCCCTCCCCAACATCCTTGTAGCCCCCTTCAGACACTGGAAGCTGCTCCATCCACCAAAGCAGCATCTTTTCCCTCCTTTCAAGCACCCCCCAGAAGCTCCCCCACCCTTCTCCAACACATGGGCAACCCCAGAACTTGAGTGCCCAGACCAGCTTGGGAATCCTGGGAACAAAGAGGCTCATTTCACCCCCAGGCTCCCACGTTGAGCACAAAAGGCTCCATTGCCAGCTCTGGTCTCTCTTTACTCCTCACCACCACATCCCTGCCACGTACCTGCGGTGATCGATGCACTGCACCACCCTGCCGAACGTGCCTTCCCCTAAGGTGCTAATAATCTCATCTGGGAGGGAGAGAAGGAGAGGAAAGCAGATGAGAGAGTGAGCACGACCTGGATGCAGCGCATACACAAGGCAGAGGAGAATGCATTGCAACACCTAACCTGCACACAGCTTGAGAGGCCGGAGCAGCGGAAGGCTGACACCGGCTGCACAAGGCAACAGCCCTAATTCCCTGGCACTTCAGTAACAATACAAATATAAACGTAGCTTTAACAAAAGGGGAAGGAAAAAGGAGAGGGTTTCTCTTTAATAAACAATGGCAATAAAATGAAACAGAAAGATAAGACAGATCTGCGACTGCGATGGGAGCTTAACTAGAGAGCTAAATTATGTTACGATTTGGCTGTACATCTTTCTTGTAGCCAGTCGCCGACGCGATAGATCAGATGCCCCTCGTCGTCGTCCTCCACACTCTTGGCCCTTCTGCTGCTCTGTCGACTCCGCTGCTGGCCCAGGCAGACAGGGAATTCATCATTCACCAATCACATTTTCAACCCAGCGCAGCAGCCAGCGTCACGCATTGGTTGGTTTGGAAATTCACATGGTTGTTTGAGGAGGGGTTGCAGGAGGAGATTCCCAGCCAATTCATACGGCACAGAGGAATATATAACGATAGGGATATTGCAAGGGAACATGTCAAGATACAACACACTAGCTCAGAAAAGAAAAAAACAGTTTGCTTTTCGTTGTAGCCAAAAAGAAAAAAAAAAAAAAAGAAAAGAAAACCAAAAGGAAAAAAAAAAGAACCAAAAAAAGAAAAAAGACCCTACAAACAGCCCCACCCGAACCAGTGCGAGAGCAGAGACGGTCACAACAGGGCTAGCGGAGGGCAGAGCAAGGGGGCTGCTGCCCTCGCTCCTAGCGGGGCTCCGAGAGCATCGGCACTGGCCTTCGGGTCCTGGTGACGCCAAGAGAGCGCGGCAGAGCCTCGGGGAGAGGCTCCTTCAGCCCCATGCAGCCGCTGGGGAAAGGCAGCAGAAGGCAGGTGGGTGCTGGCAAGTCCTGCACAAGCAAAGGCCCAGGCTGTCCCCCACATCCCATTCCAACAGCCCCCCACAGTGTCCCCCAGCCCCAACACTCAGGCAAAGATGACTTCAGAGGTTTCAGAAGCAGCTCTCAGTACAAGGATCCATCCAAACCAGAGAGGATTGTGACTGCCTTGGGGAAGATGTGACCCTTCTGCCTGCACCCTCCCCTAACAAAGCTGATCCTGGAAGGACTAGCTTCCAGGAGAGAAGCAGAGGCCCAATAGGGAACAGGGACAGCCTGGGATGAGGCAGATAAGAGGCTTATGCCAGAGAAGAGAGAATTCCTGCCTTCAATTCTTGAGCTAAGTATCCCCACACCTGGGAGCAACCAACCGGCCAGCACACCTGGGACCTGAATCCAGCCCCCAGTCCCATCCCAGGACATACAGCCAGAACAGACCGGACAACACTGAGAGCTCCACATACAGAGCAGAGAACGTGTCTGGGGTCTAACAGAAGTGGAAGGTGAACAGCAGAACAGACAAGAAGAGAAAGGCAGGGACACTGCTGGGAAGAGCCTGTGACGGTTGCTGCCTCCACCTGAATCGATCAGTCCACAAGTTTCACTCCATTGCAAAGCCCCTCACACGACACCCCACATCAGCTGAGCCAGCCCAGAAGGATCCTGCTCTGCTGCAGGACCTAACCCTCAGAGACAGGGAGGCTTCCTGCCACAGAACACAGAACCAGGGACCGAGCTGCCTGTGGCAGGCAGGCTGAGCTCTCTGGGACCAGGATCAGCTGGACCTCACACAAAAGACTGCTTGGCTGGGGCTCCTAGACAGCTCTTAATGAGCACCACTGAACAAAAGCAGTGCTCTGCAGGGATAAAGGAGCTGAGGCCTGCTGCACCACCCCGGGGGGGACACGCCAGCCTCGAAAGGCACAGCCTGTCCTCCTCCCACCTCTGAGCGGGCATCACCATGCGAGGGGCTGAGCCAGCACAGGGCAGCCCCTGCTGAGGCCCAGCAGGACGGTGGACACGAGCTGCCACCTGCACCAAAGATCTCTCTCCGCACATCTCAAGCCGAGTCCGAGAGAGCGGTTAGAAATGACTTTTCCACTTACCCAGCTCGGCACCTGGGAGAGAAAGGTTACAGGGGAAGCCCAACACAGCAGGATACTCACCGATGAGGAGCGACTAAAGGACCGGCTGCGGCGCCGCCTCCGCCTGTGCTTACGCCGGCTGCTTTTGCAGCTCCGGTAGCTGCCCTCGCGGTCCCGGGAGCGCCGGTACTCATAGGAGTGACGGTACTCGGGGTCATAGTAGGCTTCCCCCCGCTCACGGCTGTAGTCGTTCCGCCGGTAGCTGTCACAGTAACGCCGGTCATAGGCCCTCCTGTCTGCTGAGTGGTCGTCGTAGCTAGGGAAGGGCAAGCAAGGCAGGGATCGCATGAGGAACGCAGCACAGGGCAGAGCAGAGGAGCTGCCCCTGGCAGAGCCCCTCAGGTCAGGGGCCCTGCCCCGGCCTTGCAGCCTCACCTCCTGGAGCGAACGTGGTAGCTGTCCTCCCGCCGGTGCCGCCGGTCCCGCTCGCTGCTGCTGGACCGCGACCGCGTCCGCCGCCGCTTGTGCTTGCGGCTCCTGTAGCGCTCGTGGTAACTGCCCCGGCTGCTGCGCTCCGACGAGCGGTACCTTCGGGAGTGAGGCATCTGCAGGGGCAGGAGAGGACCGTGAGAGGCAATGGCAAGGGAGGGAAACCAGCGCAGATCATCCGAGCACCCACAGCCAAGGAGCTGCCAGGGCAAGGAGAGGGGAGGCCACCAGCAGCGTGTCTGAGCATGCAGAGGGGACCTGAGAGGGAGGGGATGAGTGTCTAAGAGACCCCAGCACCCCATATGAGAGGATGGGGCCACCCACATGGGCTGTGCTTGCTGCAGTCCTGGCTGTCAGGTTACTTTCACCTCTTCACACTCATCCCTACTGGCCACAGCTCCAGGAGCAGCACCTGAGCCTTCAGAGCAGCACTTGAGCCTTCAGAGCTTCCACCTTCTTCTCTCTTTAAACTAAAGTGCTCCCCACAAAGGAGAGAGCAGCACCAAGGAAAACTGAAGGAAGGTGAAAGGAAGCTCAGGATATCAGCAAGTGCTTGGCCCAAAGTCCTTGCACCCCAGTACTGCTGCACAGGGACTTTGTACAGGAGCTCCTCAAGAGATGCCTCTGGTTTACTGCTGAGCAAGAGGCATTTACGCTTCCACTGCCCCATCCAGGGAGCAAAACCACCCTGTCCACATGCAGAGGCACTCATGAAGCCTTGCAGACCCCTCCTCAGGGGGATGAGCACTCGCCTCTACCTCTCTGATGGGATGCAAGTGCCAAGAGGGAAGGAGCCTGTCCCTCAGTAGGACTCCACCCTGAGTCCCGGTTCAGAGCATCCTGCTCCCATCCCCAGCTCCAAGCCATTCCCCACGTGTATTTCAGCTCCAAACCACCAAACACCACTACCTGCCCTGCCTCCAAAGCCAAGAGCCTGAGGCCCCGTTTGCCCACAGCCCTCCCAGTGGCGACTTTGCCCCCCCAAGGAGCACACCCGCCCCGGTATTACAGGCCCGGCTACCGAGAGGGCGAGGTGCGACTGAAGGGCACCCGAGAGCGCACGGCCGGTGTCCACTCACGGTTCCCCCCCCCAGGGACGGCGGCTCCGAGTCCAACCTCTCATTAAGGACAGCGCACGAAGGCGGCGCTGGAGGCCGGCCAAGGCCGGGCACCCCCTTCCCGAGCAGGCAAAGCCCGCAGCGGCGCGTTCCAAAGCAGCTCTGGAACCGGTTTGGGGACGATGATGGCGGCCGCGCTCCGCCGCTGGCGGGTGGGGCCTGAGCGGCCGAGCGCCAACAGCGGAAGCACCGGGAGGAGCGGGGACGGGACCAGGCCGCGAAGCGGCAGAACGGGGCTCCCGCACAGGGAGGCTCCAGCACCGACGGGGAAGGGGAAGCAACAGCAAGGCCTCACCGCGGCCTTCACCCCCCCACACCACACACCCCACACCCCACACCCCACCCCCGGAAGGGCCCGCACCCCCCCCCACCGCGTTCCGCACCGTCCTCGCAGCCAGCCCGGTGCGTTTATCCCACAGGAAATCCGTGATGGCGGCCGTGGAGCCCCCGGGAATCCCGGGCCCCGCTCCAAGTGCTCCGAGCTCCGCCGCGCCCCGCCGCCGCCGCCGATCCGGGTCCCCACCGCCAGGCCGCGTACGCACGTACGCAACTGCGTCAGAAGGGGAGGGGCCGAGGTGGGCGGGGCTCCGGGGGACGACGTCCGTCGTCCCCGAAGCCCCGCCCACCCGGCCCCGCCCCGCCCGCGGGGTCCCGCGCCGCCGCTGCCGCCGCTCCGGTAACCTCCGGTGCATCCCCGTTATCGGCGGGGCTCCATTGCCTCGCCCCGGGGTGCGCAGTGCCCCGGGCGTCCCCTGGAGCTGCGGATACCGGTAACGGAGCGGTGAGCGGTGAGCGGTGAGCGAGCGGTCGGGACCGGCGAAGTGAACGCGCGCCCGCCCGGGGCCGGGCATGTGCGACGGGGCGGCGGGCAGAACGCCCGGGCAAGGGCGTTTGAAGGAAACGTGAGGCGGCGGCGGCGGAGGGATGGAAGCGGCACCGGGCAAGAGCCCCGAGCCGCGGGAGAAGCCGCCGGTATTAGATGGGGAAGCGACAGGAGCGGCCCCGGCTTCGCCGGTGGCGGCGGAGCAGATCGTGGCGGAGGGCGAGGCGGCGGCCACGGCGACGGCGGCGGGCACGTTCGTGCAACGGCAGCTCGGGGCCATGCTGCAGCCCGCCGTGAACAAGTTCTCGCTGCGCATGTTCGGTAGCCACCGGGCCGTGGAGATCGAACGGCAACGGGTGAAGTCGGCCGGTGCCTGGATCATCCATCCCTACAGCGACTTCAGGTGGGACCCGCTCCCGTGCCGCTGTCCCTGGTGCTGAGAGCGGCTCCTCCGCCCGCCCCGCCCGGGCTCCGTCGGGGCAACAAGTGCCGGGCACCGGGGGCTCTGCATCACCGGGCCGGGAGGACGCCGCTCCCGCACCGCAGCCGCCGGTCCGGCCCTCCCCGGGGCCGCGCAGCCCCAGCCCCTGCCCCATCCTTGGGTGATCCTGCGGGGGGCACCGGTGGCTTTCTCCTGCCTCAGTCCCCCCCTCACCGGTCCCCGGGGCTCCCGTTGGCCGAGCGCAGCCCAGCCCAACCTCCGCGGAGGAGGAGGCAGGGTCCGCCGGCCCTCACCCACGCAGCCCCCCGCTTCCCGACGCTGTTTGTCTGTGTCTGGTGCGGAGCTGCGTGACCCCGCTGGGGACACGGGGCCCCCGAGCTGCCTGCAGAGCCTGGGAGCTGGTGGCGGGGGGGGGGGAGCAGGATGCCCAGCACGGAGCCGGGCCTGGCTCACGGTGTCACCGGGATCACGGGGAGGGCTCAGGGACGGATGATGTGGGAGGAACTGGGTGTCACGGGGATGTTGAGTCATATAGGGTGGGCTTTCTCTACGGGGAATGGCAGTCATCTCCCGCGGCAAGCTGTGACACGGCTGATGGCCCCAGCCTGGCGAGCACCCCAGTACCTGTAGCCTCACACCGGGGGCCTGCAGCCCTCGGAGCCCTTTTCCCAGGGAAGCTGCCCCCAAGTTCGGGAGCCTGCGCTCGGCAGGGGCAGTTTGTGCAGCGGTGCCGTGGGGCAGGCTGGCAGGTAGACAGCTGGCGGGATTACGGCGGTGTTTATCACATTATAGGGATACATAAAGGCCACTGAGATCAGGGCCCTGCGTGTTCGGCCTGACACAGAGCAGAGGACGGGGCTTGCCCTAAATAGCTTAAGCCTGAGGCTGAATCAAGAGCTCTGGCAGCTGTGGGGGCCGGCGGCTCCCTGCTCGTGCACAGGGCTTGAGGCACAGCGCAGGGTGCAGGAGGCAATTGCTCGGCTGGGTCAGGCCCCTTCTGCCGTGACCAGCATCTTCTGGCCTTCCCCAGCCCATCTTGGCCACGGGCAAGAGGATGTTAATGTGTGCCAGGCCTCTGGGTCCTGGGGGAGCCCCCGCGTTGGTGATGCCCCCTCCCTGCCATGGTGCTCCCTCTTGAAGGAGCCATCACTTCTGCTCCCTCCTCGTCCCCACCACTTGCACCAAGTGGTGCCTGGTGAGGACCCAGGGGAGGAAGCGCCTGCAGGCTCCTTGTCATTGCAAAAGCCACTTTGGATCCGCAAGGCACCAAGAGTTGCCCTGAGGTCACCTTTGAAGACTTGGGGTCTTTACCCACAAGCGGGGCTGGGGCTAAGGGGGCACCCAAAGGTGGGAGCTGGGTTTGCTTGTTGAGGCGCCCATAAAGCCTCGGAGCCCACCAAGGTGCCGCAGGAGCCGTCGTGGGCCTTGTGAAGCAAAGTGTGTCCATGTGTTTGTGTGAGGAATGAAAACACCCCAGCCACATTTGCATGTGAATGGGGATGCTGGGTTCCGTGGCACCACCAAACACCAATCAACTGCTGCCCAGGGTCTGTTGGCTTTGCCTCCAAAGCCTCTGAGCTTGTCCGCACCCGGAGAAAGGAGGTGGATTGAGGGGTCCTGCAGGCCCAGTGCCCATGGTAGCCCCTTTGGGGTTAGACATGTTCCTCCCACCTTCACTTCCCTACCCTTGCTTGGCTGCTGCCCTATGCTGCAATCCCAACGGCTTCACTGGCCCCAGGGCAGAAGAGGGAGCAGTGACACCCTTCCCACACGCATGGGGTGAAGTTTGCTCCCCCAGCCCCACCAGTGCAGAGCTGCTCCCCCCCGCACATGTGTGTCCCTGCCATGCAGCAGCGTTGGTCATGCGTGTGGGCAGGCACGTGTGTGCATGTCCTGTGCACCCGTCTCTCCACACTGCATTGGACTCGGGGTTGCTTCTAACCCACTGTCTCCTGCCTCTCCCTGCTTCTCCCACCCGCTGTGCTCCATCCCTGCAGGTTCTACTGGGACCTCATCATGCTGCTGCTGATGGTGGGGAACCTGATCATCCTGCCCGTGGGCATCACCTTCTTCAAGGATGAGAACACCCCTCCCTGGATCGTTTTCAACGTGCTCTCGGACACTTTCTTCTTGGCCGACCTGGTGCTGAACTTCCGGACAGGCATCGTGGTGGAGGACAACACGGAGATCATCCTCGATCCGCACACCATCAAAATGAAGTACTTGAAGAGCTGGTTCCTGGTTGACTTCATCTCCTCCATCCCGGTGGATTACATCTTCCTCATCGTCGACCTGGAGACGCAGGTGGATTCTGACGTGTACAAGACAGCGCGGGCGCTGCGCATCGTGCGCTTCACCAAGATCCTCAGCCTCCTGCGCCTGCTGCGCCTCTCGCGCCTCATCCGCTACATCCACCAGTGGGAGGAGGTGAGGGCCCCCTGGGACCACGGCCACTGCTCATGCTGGGGACCTTGGGCTGGTTGGGGTGTCATAGAACCATAGAACAGTTCGGGTTGGAAAGGACCTTAACATCATCCAGTTCCAACCCCCTGCCGTGGGCAGGGACACCTCACACTAAACCATCTCACCCAAGGCTCTGTCCAACCTGGCCTTGAACACCACCAGGGATGGAGCATTCACAACCTCCCTGGGCAACCCATTCCAGTGCCAGTGTCTCTGCAGCTCCAACTCCTGCCTCTTCCGCAGATCTTCCACATGACGTACGACCTGGCCAGCGCTGTGGTGAGGATCTTCAACCTCATTGGCATGATGCTGCTGCTGTGTCACTGGGACGGCTGCCTCCAGTTCCTGGTGCCCATGCTGCAAGACTTCCCCGAGGACTGCTGGGTCTCCATCAACCACATGGTGGTGAGTGTGCCGTGTAGGGATGAGAGGGTTTGGTCGCACATCCTGTACTCGAGGGATGGAGCTGCCTGGATCCATCACAGCAGCATCCCTATTCTAGTCCCAGCGGAGGGAACCTCTGCATCACCCTCCTGTCTCAGCCCGCTGTGGCTGCTGCTGGGGTTGGTGGGGATGGAGGGCTCAGCCCCACGGCTCCCTCCAGCAGCCCCCAGCGCCGCTGTTCCTCGCCCACAGAACGACTCCTGGGGGAAGCAGTACTCGCACGCGCTCTTCAAGGCCATGAGCCACATGCTCTGCATCGGCTACGGGCAGCAGGCTCCGGAGGGCATGACCGACGTGTGGCTCACCATGCTGAGCATGATCGTGGGCGCCACGTGCTACGCCATGTTCATCGGCCACGCCACCGCCCTCATCCAGTCCCTGGACTCGTCCCGGCGCCAGTACCAGGAGAAGGTCAGTGCGATGGGCGCTGGGTGCCGGAAAGGCACCAGAGGGGGGTTCGGGGGCACCAGGCTGCCTGTGTGCAGAGAGATGCCCCATTTGGGGTGTTGGGGGTCACCTCAGCATAGTGAGCCCCCATCCTGGCCTCTGCATCCCGAGGGCACAGGGTTCTGTTCTCTGCTCTGGACATCAGGCTGGATCTAAGGATGAAATCCTTCCCTGTGAGGGTGCTGAGGCGCTGGCACAGGGTGCCCAGAGAAGCTGTGGCTGCCCCATCCCTGGCAGTGCTCAAGGCCAGGTTGGACACAGGGGCTTGGAGCAAGCTGCTCCAGTGGAAGGGGTCCCTGCACATGGAGCTGGAGGAGCTTTAAGGTCCCTTCAACCCAAACTGGTGATGCTATGATTCTTTGACATGGCTTTGGGGGGGTCTGGATCCCAGCCCTGCATGGCTCTGCCTTGTCCCCGCAGTACAAGCAAGTGGAGCAGTACATGTCATTCCACAAGCTGCCTGGGGACACGCGCCAGCGCATCCACGAGTACTACGAGCACCGCTACCAGGGCAAGATGTTCGATGAGGAGAACATCCTGGGGGAGCTCAGCGAGCCGCTCAAGGAGGTAGGGGCAGGCACCCACCGCCGGCGCCTCGGGTGCTCACCGGGGCCAGGCTCGGCGATGTCCCTGTCGGTGACGTGCTCCTCCGCCCCGCAGGAGATCATCAACTTCAACTGCCGCAACCTGGTGGCCAACATGCCCCTGTTTGCCAACGCGGACCCCAACTTTGTGACGGCCATGCTGACCAAGCTGCGCTTCGAGGTCTTCCAGCCCGGGGACTTCATCATCCGCGAGGGCACCGTCGGCAAGAAGATGTACTTCATCCAGCACGGGGTGGTCAGCATCCTCACCAAGGGCAACAAGGAGACAAAGCTGTCTGATGGCTCCTACTTTGGGGGTGAGGCTGGGCTGGGCCGCATGGGGAGCAGGGGGGAGCAAGAGCTGCCAGAGGGCAGGAGCTGGGGCATCCAGCTCATGCTGAGCTCTGGGGCTCACAGTGCCACCACCGCTGTTCTCATGGGGCACCTTGTCCAGCAGATTGAGGCAGAGGGACCAGAATTGTGCCTGGCTTGGGTACAAGGGGCATCACCCCGCCTCTGGCCAGAGAGGAGGGAGGTTTAGAGCAGAGCATCCGAGCCAGTTGGTATTTGGGAGAGCAGCGGTGTCTGCATGGCCTGGCTGAGGACACAGCGTGGCTGTCCAGGCTCCAGACTCTGTGCAGGCTGTGGGAGCAGCAGGCAGCCGCTCCCCATTCCAGCTACTCTTATCTGGGGACATGGTTGGGAAGGGGATAGATGGGAGTGTTAAGGGGCAGGTTGGACACAGGGGCTTGGAGCAAGCTGCTCCAGTGGAAGGTGTCCCTGTGCATGGCATGGGGCTGGAGCTGGAGGAGCTCTAAGGTCCCTTCCACTTCCATGGTTCTATGGATGCCTCCTCCCGACCCCCAAACCTGTGTCCCTGCAGAGATCTGCCTGCTGACGCGGGGCCGGCGCACGGCCAGCGTGCGCGCTGACACCTACTGCCGCCTCTACTCCCTGTCCGTGGACAACTTCAACGAGGTGCTGGAGGAGTACCCCATGATGCGCAGGGCCTTCGAGACCGTGGCCATGGACCGGCTGGACCGCATAGGTGAGGAGGGGCCCCTGGGCCAGGCACAGCCACCCCTGAGCCATGGCATCCCAGCCCCATGGGTGATGGCACCGCAGCCCCATGGGTGATGGCATCCCAGCCCCATGGGTGATGGCACCACAGCCCCATGGGTGATGGCATCCCAGCCCCATGGGTGATGGCACCGCAGCCCCATGGGTGATGGCACCGCAGCCCCACCAGTGCCCAGCAATGAGGACGAGGGGAAGGAGCCTGCCTCCAGCATCCCTCTCTCTCCCAGGAAGACCCAGGCAATGCTGTATGACAGTGGGGCTGTCGCCCACTCCCTTCTCCCATCTTTGCACTGGCATTGCCCAGCTGCTTGTCCTCACCCCCCTCACCAGCAGGACCACAGCCCCCAGCCTCCAGCCTGGAACCTTTGGGGCCGGGACTCCCCTGGTTTGTCCCTGCTTCCCCCTCTGCTCCAGCCCGAACCCTCCCCAGGGCCACAGGGCTGAGGCTTTGCGGTCCCTTCCCCACGGCCGCTCCCAGTGACGCTGCTGCCTCCCCCCATCCCAGGCAAGAAGAACTCCATCTTGCTCCGCAAGCGAGCCGAGCACAGCTCGGGGCCCATGAACAACGAGATGATCCAGCAGATCGTGAAGCACGACCAGGACATGGCGCACAACATCCAGGACCTGCAGCAGATGGCCATGGGCCGGGAGCTCAGCGGCAAGCCGGTGATCTGGGAGCCGCTGGTGCACGCCCCGCTGCAGACGGCGGCCGCCACCACCAACGTGGCCATCGCCTTGACCCACCAGCACAGCCTGCAGGCGCACATCTTCCTGCCGCCCTCCTCCATCGCCAGCCCGCTCTCCCCCGAGGCCACGCTGCTCGCCAAGCCCGTGCGCCGCTCCCAGCCCAGCCTCGGGGGGTCCCGGCCCTCCTCCATGAGCTCCCCGTCGGCGCCGCAGTCCCACCTCCAGACGCCCGCCGCCGGGTCCCCGTCCTCGCCCATGGTGCAGCCGCTGGAGGGCTCGGGGCAGAGACCCAGCCCCGGGGCACCGGCGCTGCCGCGCCCGGCTCCCAAGGGGGACCCCGCGGCCAAGCAGCCCCCGGCCGGCCCCCAGCCGCAGCTCTCCCGCTCCCGCGGCGCCTCGGTGTCCACGTCGCTGCTGCAGCAGGCGGCCGGGGCCCCGTCGCCCAGCTCGGAGCAGGCGCTGCCGCCCGGGAGAACGCTGCACTACAGCCTGTCCCGAGCCACCGGCTCCCACATCTCGCTGCTGATGCAGCCGCAGCAGCTGGTGAAGCACCGGAGCATCCAGGGCCTGCCGCTGGGGCGGCTCACCCAGGACGTCCGGCTCCTCTCCGCATCCCAGCCCTCCCTTCCCAACAGAGTGGCCCAGCAAGGCGACGGGAGCTCCCTGCAGCAGGGCAGGAAGGCGGCGGGGAGCCTGGCCCGCCGCTCCTCGCCCTCGGTCGCCGGGCTCCTGGCCAAGCCGTGCCCGGCGGTGCCAGCCCAGCACTCGCAGCAGATGCCTTCAGGATCGCTGCCTCAACCCAGCCGCACCGTGGCCGCAGCATCCACGCCGCAGTCGCCGGTGTCCGCGTCCCGGCAAGCAGCGGGTCCCTCCCGCAAGGGCTCCGTGGCCTTCAGCCCCGAGGTGGAAACGGGGAAGCCCAAACTCCAGTCCAACATGTGAGTGCCGGGTACAGGCAGGAGGGAGCCGGGCGGCACAGGCGGGGAGGGAAGAGGAGGTGAGAGGCAGCACGGTGGCTGCGGACCGGGTGCGGGGCAGCCCCTGGGTGAGGAGGGGGCTCTGCCGACTGCCCCATGGCTCCCACCCGGGCTCTCCATCACCGCTCGCCCTCCTCCTGGCGGCAGCAGGATGGGTCAGAGCCCTCGCCCGACTCCTGCGCCGTGGGGTCCGTGCCCCACTGTGCTCTGCCCTCGCTCCCCACTGCCCCTCCTTGGGGCCAGCCCAGCGCTGGGGGCTCCTGCAGCCTGTCCTGCCACAGCAGGGGCTGCCATGCACCCGCCTCGGTCCCCAGACAGCTCTGCCAGCACCTTTGCTGTGGGGAGAGGAGGGAGAGGCCCCAGTGCTGGGGCAGAGTGAGGGGTCCAGAGCCCATGGCAGGAGCCAGGTCCCCTTCCCTGAGGCCCTGGACACAGTGCCCAGATCTGGGGGTCCCGAGTGCCACGGAGCAGAGCTGGGGGCAGATGGGTCTCTCATGGAGCAGCCCCTGGGTGCGTCTCCCCAGCCTAGGGGAGCACCTTGCCTCCATCAAGGGGTCCGGGCGCTGTGACCTGGCCCCTCTCCATGCTCCATCAAGGGGGCAGCCCTGGGGTGTCCCCGCTGCCTGAGGGGATGCTCAGCCTGGGTTCTACTCCCTCCCTGTGCTGTGGTCCCAGTTCCAGGCACCGCAGGGAGCAAAAGGGTGTCTGGAGGAGATGCAGCGCCCAGGCAATGTGTGGGGCTGTGGAGCTGCCTCCCCTCCCCCTTCTGGGTCTCTGTTTTGGGGGGGCAGGAGCCTGGGTTCCCCATGGCCAACCCACAGCACCCTTGGGGAGCCAGTAGTCAGCAATGTGTGTTCAAGCTGTGGCTCTGCCCAGCCGCTGAGCTCTGCTTACCGTGTCGCTTTGGGCCACCCGTGTTACCAGTCCTGGTTAAAGTAATGTCCCTTCCCGTCCCCACCACGCTGCGCAAGCTGCTTCCCACTACCGGGGTCAGGAACCATGGCTTGTAGTTGTGCTCTGGGGCCTGGCTGCCGCCGAGCAGGGCCCATGCAGGGGGCGAGGGCCTTGTTCTTCGTGGTCCTTTCTCAAAGTGAGGTCTTCAGTTCCCCCCCTTCGCGTTTTGGGATGTCGGGACCGGTGCAGCCCGCAGGGCACCGCAGCCCGGCCCGGATCCCACCAGCGCGCCCAGCGGAGGGGATGTCCAGCACTGCCTTCTTCCCATGGACCTCAGCTCTCCCCTGCCCGCATCCCGCTCCATCCCCATGGTCGGTGTGTCCCCGGCAGCCCCTCGGGAAGGGGTCTGCGGCGGGGCCCTGTAAGACGTCCCCAGGCTGTGTGATGTAGATGTGTTAACCCATCCTTAGGTGTCCCCGCAGAGCCCGCGGGCTGGCCCGGATGGCACCGAGCTCAGCTCTGCCCCCCCGTTGCGGCCAGAGCCACCCCCGGTGTGGAGGCAGGAGGGGCCGCCGGGGGTGCTGGTGCCTCTGCGGCGTGCGCGGGCACAAGTCTAAGGCACCAAAGACCACGCTCCCCCACTCGCACTCACGGCAGTCCATGTACAGAGCTTGTAGTTTTCATATCGCAGAGGATCTAAAAGCGGTTTTTTATTTTTGGTCGTTGTACATAATGGATTTAAATAATAAAGAGAGATTCCGAGCTGGTTCTGGGGGAGCCTCCTTCGGGGCCGGCACCCCCAGCGCCCCCCCTGCCTGCGGGGATGGGATGGGGCAGGGGGATGCTCTGCGGGTCCAATCCCCGTGCTCTGTGGAGCATCCTTGGGTACCCATTGAGGGGCCTCTCCCCGGCCCCCCAGCCCCGGGCAGTCCAGTGGGAGCCCCCTCCTGCCCGCCCCGTCCCCTTTAGGCCCTGGGGAGATTAATGTTTAATCTTCAGTTACTTTCCCTTCCATTCCTTACCAGGGGGATGGGGAGGTTTGATACCGCCTGATTGCAGAGCAGACTCTGGGCATTAACTAGATTAAATGAAGGTCGTGCAGCGCGAGATGGGCTGCTGGTGGCACAGAGCCCCCCGCCACGGCCACCCGCAGGGCCCTGCAGCATCCCCTGCCCTACCACCAGCGGGACTTAGGCTCTGTGACACACGATGCCATCAGAGCTGATTAGCAGTTTCTTTCTAATTTGATTATTTCAGCTTACACCGAAGCCAGCCTGATTAAGAGCCTGTGTAGCCAACGGTCCCCAGCTCCAGCGCCCCGCTGGAAGGCTGGGATGTGCTGCCAGCGCCTGGCTCTGCCTCTGCAGAAAGGGGAAAGAGCTTTTTCCTCGAAGCACAATCCCAGCCTCCGCATCCCTGCTCAGGGCTCCCAGCGCACCGGGGGGCAGGAGGAGCCGAAGGGATCACAAAGGCTCCGCAAGGGCACCCTGGGCTGGCTCATCCCCAAGCCCCCGCGTTGCCGGCTGTAGGGGGGATGATGGGGGGGGATTAGCAGGCCGCAAGGCAGAGATTAATTAAACCCGGGTTAGCGGGGATTAGGGCATCGCAGCAGACAATCAGCGGGGCCGGGGAGGGGGCCGCCGTGTCCCCCGCTGTGCTCGCCACTGACTGAGGCCTCGGCCCCTGGGGGTGATGGGGAACCTGCCCCATCCCTGGCACCGGGGTTCTCTCCTGTGCACAAAGGTGTGGGGTGCACCCCCTGCACTGCACCCCCCCGTTAACACTGCACAGCTCTGCACAGCCCCAAGCTGTCCTGCATTCCCCCATGCATCCCCCCATGCACTCCTACCTGCCTGCAGCCCCCATTACCCCCCAGCTTCCCACAGCCCCCGTGCACCACCTATGCACCCAGAGTTTCCATGCACCCCCCCATGCACCCCCAGTTCCCATTCACCCCCATGCACCCCCCATGCACCCCGATCTGCCCGCTCCCCCCGTGCACCCCGCGCCCTCCTCAGCAGCCTCGCCCCGCGCCCCCGCGCCTCGGCCGAGCCCTCGCTCCATTCGCTCCCTCCACCAATCAGTAGCATCAGTCCCGCCCTCCGCGCACTCCTATTGGCTCAGCGTTCCCGGACTCATCCTCATGCGATGGAGCGGATCAATCAGCGCGGGCGCCCCGGCAGAGGCCGGGCCCTGACTCCGCCCTGCGCGGGGCACGCCGGGAGTCGTAGTCCTGCGGCCCAAGCAGCTCCGGCTCCCCCCGCGGCTGCGGGACTGCGCTTCCCGGCGACCCCCGCGCCGGGCGGAGGGACGGGGCGGGACGGGGCGGGACGCGGCTCCCCTGAGTGCCGCCGGGGCAGCGGCGTGGAGCGGGCGGGCTACGGGCACCATGAGCGGCAGCGGGGAGCGGGCGGCGGCGGAGCGGGAGGAGTTCATGAGCTTCTTCCCGCAGATCGTGCGCGACCTGACCGAGGGCGGCCTGGGGCACCCCGAGGTGGGCGATGCCGTGTCCCGCTTGAAGGAGGTGAGGAGGGCGAGGAGGGGGGCACGGGGTCCGGCTCCATCCCCATCCCCTGCCCGTCCCGTCCGAGGCTGCCCGTTCCCGTCTGCCCGCAGGTGCTGGAGTACAACGGCCCCGGCGGGAAGTGCAACCGGGGCATGACGGTGCTGGCCGCCTACCGGGAGCTGGCGGGCCCCGGGCAGCAGGGAGCCGAGAGCCTGCGGTGCGCCCTGGTCGTCGGCTGGTGCATCGAGCTGGTGAGAGCCGGGGCGGGGCGGGCCTGGGGGTGCCCCCTCCTCGGGACCCCCCCCCCCCCGTAACCTGGCCTCTCGCAGCTCCAGGCGTTCTTCCTGGTGACCGACGACATCATGGACGCGTCCCTCACCCGCCGGGGGCAGCTCTGCTGGTACAAGAAGGTGAGGGCGTTGGGGGGCCCCTGTCCCCTGGGAGTTGCGGGGTGGGTGGGGGGGGTCAGGGTGTTTTGTGACCCCTCCCTGCCCGCCCGGTGCAGGAGGGGATCGGCCTTGATGCCATCAACGATGCCCTGCTCCTGGAGTCCTCTGTCTACCGCCTGCTGAAGAAGTACTGCGGGGAGCATCCCTACTACGTGCACCTCCTGGAGCTCTTCCTGCAGGTGAGCCGGGCCCCTGTGTCCCCCAGCACAGGTACCCTGGGGTCTGCCCTTCCTGGGCATCCTGGGGCTGGGGTTTGGGGGTTTCACTGCGCTGTTGGGACCCTGCGGGGGGGCTGCAGGAACAAACGCTCCCGTTCCTCTTCAGACTGCCTACCAGACGGAGCTGGGGCAGACGCTGGACCTCATCACTGCTCCCATTTCCCGGGTGGATTTGAACCGCTTCAGTGAGCAGAGGTAGGAGGGATAACATCCACCTTCCACGCCGTGTAGGAGGGGTAACATCGTGCCAAGCTCTGCGGAGCGGGTCGGAGCTTGTGGGCTGGGTTGAAGGGAGATGCTGGTCCTGGTCTGCAGAGCCCTGTTGGGATGGGAGGGCCTTGGCCCTGGCACTGAGCAGGGTTCCTCTGCCACAGGTATAAGGCTATTGTGAAGTACAAGACGGCGTTTTACTCCTTCTACCTGCCTGTGGCTGCTGCCATGTACATGGTGAGTCCTTGGTCACTGTCGCTGTCAAGGAAGGCAGGAGCTTTGGGAGATGCGAAAGGGTGGAAGGCAGGTACTGGAAGGCTTCGTTTTTTCCCCTCCTTCTTAGGCTGGTATTGACAGCAAGGAGGAGCACGACAACGCCAAGGCCATCTTGCTGGAGATGGGTGAATTCTTTCAGATCCAGGTAGATGCTGTTTCCCTGTCCCTTAGTGCTTACAAGGTGCTGGCTGTGGCACTCCGGTGTTCCCATCTCCGTACAGGATGATTACCTGGACTGCTATGGAGACCCAAAGGTGACAGGGAAGGTTGGCACTGACATCGAGGACAATAAGTGCAGCTGGCTGGTGGTGCAGTGTCTGCGTCGGGTCACGCCAGAGCAGAGGCAGATCCTGGAGGTAACGCCACCAGGTTCACAGCCCCTGAAGGAGGGGAGATGTGGTGTAGAGGGGGTGTAGTGCCCTGTTGTACACCCTGCAGTCTGCTTGCTGTGAGTGGTTGGGGCAGGAGCGGGGACAACAAGAGGTGACTCCTGCCACCCCTTGATGGATCAGCTGTGGCTGGGGCCCGATGCTGGACCTCAGCCTGACTTGGCCGGGTGTTTTCCCAGGAGAACTACGGCCGTAAGGAACCTGAGAAGGTGGCAAAGGTGAAGGCGCTCTATGACACGCTGGGCATGAGGGCTGCTTTCCAAGAGTACGAGGAGAGCAGCTACCAGCGCCTGCAGGAGCTGATCCAGACGCACAGCCACCGCCTGCCCAAGGCCATCTTCCTTGGCCTGGCTCAGAAGATCTACAAACGGCAGAAGTGATGGGGGGGGGGGGCTGCCCTTCCACTGCTTCGCCTCTGCTGAAGGGGGCTGGTGGCCATTGGGGTCTACCCCCGGCTGGAACTGATGCCTGCCCCGTGGGGTGGGATCCGGGGCTGGTTGTGGACCGGGTTTTGGGGCCGGGGTTAGAATCGCGGGTGTCAATAAACGTTAAGTTATTGATTACCCCAGGCCATGACCGTGATTGCGGCTGGAGCCGGGGCTGGATGGGGCGGGGATGCGGGCACAGGCGGCTCCTCCTCTTGCTCGGGTTGGGGGGGGGCAGCGGCGCCACCGCCTCCTCCCGGTCGGGGCGGGGACGGGGCCGCGGCTCCTCCTCCCTCCGCAGTCGCCGCCGCAGCGCGAGGTGAGCGGGGCTGGGGCCGGGGGATGCTCAGCGCGGAGCCGCCGCTGCCGGGCGGTGCCCGGGGCCGCACGGGGCCGGGAGGGGTGCGGGAGGCTGCGGGCGGGCGGGCGGGGGGCTCCTCACCGGGACCGGGGGCCCTGCCAAGGCCTCGCAGCCCCGGCGCTGCCGCCGCCCCTCGGCCGGGCCCGGCTCCGACCCCGCTGGGGGCTCAAGGGCGTTTCCTCCTCGGTGGCATCCGCGGGCGCTGCTCAGCTCTGGGCGGGATCCGGCCCCCCCTGCGCTGCTCCCCCGCACCGCGCTCGGGGATCGCCCCCCAGCCCCTGCCCGGCGGCGCAGACCCGGGCTCAGGTGGGAGCGGTGGGGCTGCCCCTCGCTGCTGGGCCCGTTCCCATCTCGGAGCCCAAGGGCCCGGCACCGACCCCCTGCATCCGGCCCTTCCCGGCTCGGGGGCTGCCGCAAGGTCACCGTCATCCCTCCCGCCCCGTCTGCTCCTCTCCAGGTTCGTGCTCTGCGCTCTCCCCTGCTCGCTGCTCGCAGGGAGCTGCATGGTCTGAAGCCAGGAGCTGAGGGGCTCTGAGGAGCGCCAGCACCACCCGTGAGGCAGCACCATGCTGGCTCCGAAGAAAGGCCTCCTGTGCAACCTCAACCACATCCATCTGCAGCACATCTCCCTGGGGCTGCACCTCTCCCGGCACCCGGAGCTCCAGGACACTCCTGGCTCCACGGGTGGAGGGGAGCAGACGGCCTGCAGCGGCTGCCCGCAGAACTGTGAGCAAGTGGATGCCAATTCCAACAACCCCTCCCTGAAATGCCGCTGTTGCGAGTCCCATCCTCAGCAGGCGGTGACGCTGGGGCTCCAGAACCAGACAGCTCCAGAGGATTTCCCCTGCCTGCATCCTGCGGAGGAGGCGGCTTCCCCTTGTGATCTGGCTTCCTCCTCCTCCTCCTCCTCCTCCTCTGTCAGCAGCTGCTCGGATTTCAGCTTGGATGACTCCCCGGTCTCCGTGTACTGCAAAGGGTTCCCCAGAGAAGAGCCTCGACCCCTGGAAAACGCGCCCAGCGTCGTTCCCACAGGAGATGCCCGGGATGCGCAGCCGCTCGGTGACCAGGGTGGGACGTGCGATGGAAGAGACGCCAACCTCAACCCCCCGGTGCTCCAGAGACCGGCCCCGCTGACCGGAGGGAGCCCCGACAGCCTCCGCAGCAGCAGCTCGCTCGACTCCCGGGGCGATGAGGACCCCCCCAGCGTGAGGGCTGGCACCGGCATCAGCACCGACCTCGACCCCAACTGCAACCCCCTGCCCGAGGCTGACGCTGCCCCCCCGGTGCCGGGGCGCAGGGATCCTGCTCTGAGCCGAGCCCCGGAGCTGCGGCCCCCCCCACCGGTGCCCCCCCGGCCCCGGAGGCGCCTGCAGGTTCTCAATGGGCACAGAGCGGAGCAGCCCCCTCCGCCTGCGCGGCCGCTGGAGCTGGAGCCCGGCTCGGGCGACCTCTGCAGAGACGTGGCCAAGAAAACCATCACCTCCTTCCACGAGCTGGCCCAGAAGAGGAAGAGGAGCGGCGCTGGGCCGGCTCCTGCCCAGGCCAGGGCTGACCGCAGTGACTGGCTCATCGTCTTCTCACCGGACACGGAGCTGCCTCCCCCCAGCGAGCTCCTCCCCAGCACCGCGGGCCAGGAGCCGGCCCGGCCCCAGCTCCAGCCCGAGCCGCCACCGAGGCCCCCCGGCTCCCGGCAGCGCGAGGTGACCACGTTCAAGGAGCTCCGGTACCGCAGCGCATCCAACAAGGCCAAGGCGCAGCCAGCGGGCGAGCGGGCAGAGCCGGCGGCATCGCAGCATCCCCCTCCGGCCCCGGAGGTGGCCTCGGGCTGGGCGCCTCCGGTGCCGCTGGGGGGGCAGCTGCTGGCACCCATGGACGGCCACCAGCTGAAGAGGAGGAGACCCCGGCCGGGGCTGCTGCCCATCGCGGAGGGGCAGCCCGGGGACGGGGAGGAAGCGGCGCCCCCGCTGCAGAGCGCCCTCGCCGGGGGGAACGGGGCCGCGAACCGGAGGCTCAGGGGACCCGGGGCAGGCGAGAGAGGGGCCGGGCCCCGCACGGACGGTAAGAGCTGGGGTCCTGCACGGAGCGGGGCTGCGGGAAGGACGCGCCCCGAACCCCCCCCGGGGCCGCCCCGCCGCCTTCCCCGCCTTCCCCCGCCCCGTTCCGGGCCGCGGCGGGGCCCGCCCCAGCCGCTGCCCTTCGCCCCGCCGCGGCCTCCGGCTCCATGGGCGAGCGCGGCCCGGCCGGGCCCGGCCCCGGCCCCGGTCCCGGTAACCGCCTCCCCCCGGCAGCGCCTGGCGCCGCCGCGCTCCCCGCAGCCAAACCCCCGCCGTCCGCCGCTGGAGCCGCCGCGGGCCCGCCCGGAGCGGGGAGCTCGGAGGGAGCCCGCGGGGAGCAGACGAGAGGTAACGGCAGCGGCCGCGGGGCCCCGTGCGCGGGGGGGAGGCCGGGGTCGGCAGCGGCCGGAGCGGGGCCGCGGGCAGGGGCGGGCAGGGGCCGCAATCCCGCCCCGTGGTGGAGCCGGGCCCCGCCCTCGCCTCCATCCTGGCCCGGTACCCGGGGAGCCGCGGGTCCTTCATCCCGGCACCGTTCCCATGGCAACAGCCTGGATGCTCCTTGCGCCTTCCCAGCGCTCCCCTGTGCCTTGGTGTCCGGAGCTGCCGCTGGTGCCCAGCGCTCTGGGCTCAAGCGCTCGCTGAGGCCGGGTCATGGGGAGCTGCTCCTCACCCAGCACCCCCAAGTCCTCCTCGGGGCTGCTCTGAGTCTGACACCTTCCCTTCTGGTGCCACCCAGCCCTGCTCATCGCCATCAGCGCCGCCGTGGATAAGGTCATTGCCCACTTCAGCTCCGCACGGAACCTGGTGCAGAAGGTGAGGCCCTGGGCTGGGGTGGGCAGGAGGGGCCTGGGGACCTCCAGGGGCTTCCTCCCCCCCTGCAGGCCCGGGGGTTGCTGCTGCCGTTCCCTTCCCCTCCTCTCGCTGTGCTCCAGGCCCAGCTGGGCGACAGCCGGCTCAGCCCTGACGTGGGGTACCTGCTGCTGCACACGCTCTGCCCGGCGCTCTACGCCCTGGTGGAGGACGGGCTGAAGCCCTTCCAGAAGGACGTCATCACCGGCCAGAGGAGGAGCTCCCCCTGGAGCGTGGTGGAAGCCTCCGTGAGGACAGGTCCGTGCTGGCCCCCGGGGCTGGGAGCACCTCAGAGAGCCTGGAATCCTCCCCCAGCCCGGGCGGGGGGATCGGGAACCGGAGCCGTGACCATCGTGTGTTCCACAGGCCCCGGAGCGCGCCCCTTCCACTCGCTGTGCGGGCACGTGGCCGGGCTGGCCCCGCTCCACAGCACCCGGCAGAAGTTCCATGCCTTTATTCTGGGCCTGCTGAAGTGAGTCCCGGCCCCGCTGGCCCCTGCTGCAGGTTGGGACGGACTCCCAGGGGCTCTAACGTGGGTTCCCTTTGCCTTCCTTAGCATTAAGCAGCTGGAGCAGTGGATTTCCCACTTGCAGAAGAGCCCAGGTAAGGAGACAATGTCCAGAAGCTCCCCATCCACGTCCTTCCTTGCCTGCCAGGGTATAATCAGGTACAACCCATAAACAGGTCTAACCCTGGCCCTGTCCCACCAGATTTGCATAGTGGAAAAGGGCATCATCTCAGCAGAAGCTGCTCTGACCTGCTGGGACAGCCCCGCTAGGACAGCCCCGCTAGGACAGCCCTGCTAGGACAGCCCCGCTGGCCCTAGGGCGCTTTGCAGCCCTCCATCTGTCTCTGCCTCTCATAGGTGTCATCTCCGTGCTGTACTCACCCACGGCCTTCTTCGCGCTGAGCCAAGGGCCTCTGCCCCACCTCGCTGAGGAGCTGCTGCTGCTCATCCAGCCCCTCTCCGTGCTCACCTTCCACCTGGACCTGCTCTTTGAGCACCACCACCTCTCCATGGACGTGCGGCCCCTGTCCCGCCGCCCGCGCTCACCGCCGCGTCCTGCCCATGGCTCCGCTCCGGCCCCGGGCCAGCGCTCCCTGGGGGGGCTCCGCAGCACCGCGGGGCCCAGCCTGGAGGAGGAGCCCCCCGCTGATGCCGTGGGGAGGGCAGCGGGCGCAGGGGGCAGCCCAAGGCCCCATCCCCGCGCTGCTGCGCTGGTCCCTGGTGCCCAGGTCGGGGCCGCTCTGCAGCAGAGCCTGCAGCAGGTCCTGCGCTGGGGAGACCGCCTCAGCCGCACGCTGCTGGGGGCCGACGGCTCCGCGGAGCCCCGGCGGCTGGAGCCAGGCCCGGGGGATGCCGGCGCTGGTCCCGGGGGGTGGTGGGGGCAGCTGGGCCGGGCCTCCGGGACCTGCTCCGTGCCCAGCAAGGGGAAGCTCCCCTCGGTCTGGTGGACGAAGCTGCGGGCGGCGGCGGCGGATCCCGGCCCTGGCCCGGCTCTGCCGGCCCTGGGGGAGCCCGGCGGCACGGAGCTGCGGCTGCTCCAGACCAAAGCCGCCCCGGAGCTCCCGGCTCCGCAGCCCAGCAGCAGCGCGGACACCTCCGGATCCTCCTCCCCCGAAGCCCTCATCCTGCCCGCGGGAGCCGGAGCATCCCCAGCGCCGTCCGATCCCGCCGCTGGAGAGAGCCCCCGGGCATCGCCTGCTGCGGGTGGGAACCGGGCAGCGCCTCCCGGGCCCCGCGGCGCTGATGGGGGCCGGTGGCTGGGCCGGCTCTTTGGGGCCTCCAGCCCCGCTGCCAGGAGCTCCCCTCCCAGCCCCGATGCAGCCTCAGCGAGGTCCAGGTAAGGCCCAGAGCAGAGCCCCCGGCAGCTCCCGCATCCCCAGACCAGGCTGAGCCTGCGGCTTCTGCTGCGCGCAGGAGACCTTCGAGGTGGCTCTCGCCCGGCGCCCGTGTCCTGGCTGCGGTGCTGAAGGGGCTGGCGGCTGAGAAGAGCCGAGCTCAGGAGCAGGCAGAGGGGACGGCGTCGGATGCACCCCAGCCCTGCAGGTGATGGGGGCACCGCCGTGTTTGGGGCTTGAAAGCTGCCAAAGCAGGGGGGGGTCTGGTCCTGGGTCCTGGATGTGATCGACCCCATGGATGTGATCGAGCCCATGGATGGGTTTGAACCCATGGATGTGATTGACCCCATGGATGTGATCGAGCCCATGGATGTGATCAAACCCATGGATGTGATCAAACCCATGGATGGGCTTGAACCCATGGATGTGATCGAACCCATGGATGTGATTGAACCCATGGATGTGATCGAACCCATGGATGTGATCGAACCCATGGATGTGGATCGAGCCCATGGATGGGTTTGAACCCATGGATGTGATCGAACCCATGGATGTGATCAAACCCATGGATGTGATCGAACCCATGGATGGGTTTGAACCCATGGATGTGATCGAGCCCATGGATGTGATTGAACCCATGGATGTGATCGAACCCATGGATGGGTTTGAACCCATGGATGTGATCGAGCCCATGGATGTGACTGAACCCATGGATGGGTTTGAACCCATGGATGTGATCGAGCCCATGGTCTGATGGCAGCTCCTCCATGAGCATCCTGTGGGAGCCTCTCCCAGTGGCACTGGGGGGTGAGCCTGGATGCTGTTTGCTCTGCAGGGCGGTCCGGGCGCTGTGCGACCACACGGGCACGGCCGACGGGCACCTGAGCTTCCAGAAAGGGGACGTCCTGCAGCTGCTCTGCACCGTGGATGAAGACTGGATCCGCTGCTGCCATGGCAACAGCACTGGCCTGGTCCCCGTGGGTTACACATCCCTGATCCTGTGAGGGACCGGCTCCCGTCACGCTCAGAGCATCCCTCGCTGGCTCTGCTCGCTCGCATGCCCGTACCCTGTGCCACGGCGCTGAGCCCACCACGGCTCCCATGAGGGACCTGCTCCTGCTCCTGTGTCCCCAGCTCGGGAGGTCCCTGTCTCTGCTCCATGCCCCTGCCATTGTGTCCCCCCCACCGCTCTGCCCCATGCCCACCAGCTCAGGCCCGGCCACGCTCTGTCCATGGCTGTACCCAGGGGAACGCACTGATTCCAGGGGGGAAAGCTGGGAATAAAGGTTGTGATTCACGTGACTGTGTGTGGGAATGGGTCACTGCGGGGGGAAACCGGTGCTGGGCCTTTGGGGAGCGATGCTCTTGTTCCTGCTTCCTCCAAGCTGAGGAACATCGGACCTTAACGGGAGTGGGGTTTGCCTGAAGGGGGCTTCATTGGGCTCCACACTGGGCTTGGAAACGGGTCAGGCCAGGCAGGTCCTAGGGTGGGTTTAAGTAAAGCCAGGTCTTCACCCCTGGGGCTGGTGGCTCTGGTTCAGAGGGGACACAGGGCTACGGTGCAGGGACCACAGTGGCACTGAAGCTGCAGGTTTAAGGGTCCAGGTACCCATGGAGGCTGCTGCTCCTGCATCCACGCCGCCACCAGCGCTCCTGCCCACAGCATCAGCATCAACCCCAACCCTTGCAAGCTCCATCACCCATCGGAGAGCCGGGACAAGGACCCCTGGCAAAGCAATGGGAAGAGTGGGACCAAGAGCAAAGAAAAGCCCACAAAGGCACCGATAGGAAAAGATTTTCCATTTAATACTAGACTCTCTCAGGATTGAGATGCAGGCTTTTTATGCAATTACATCCAATGTTAAAATTGGTAATACATAATTTACAAAGATTAACATCAAAACAATGATCTATTTAGATATGCTTTGTAAAAAGGAAATATATTAGCAGCATTTATTTTCAGCAATCACACAGCCTACACCCATGCAGACTAAGAGTTCATATCTATTTGCAGTAATGTAGTGCTTCCTGGTCTGAAAACAGCGATCCTGGCGACCCTCCGGTCTTCTCATTATTATAAAATAACCCCAAAATAAAAAAAGTCCTTAATTTCTACACCAGTAAGAAAAAACGAAGTCTTTGCACTTACCTAACGTTTGATTGTCTAAAAAACATCTCGGTTTTAGTCTTTCAACAAAAGAAAGATAAAATGAGAGAGCTCAGGGCGGCGCTTCCGAACGCACTCGGCTTCTTAAAAACTTCTTTCTTTTAGTGTTTAACACCATTGGAGACGATGATTTCGGGGCTGGAACTAAAGGAGACAACTCAAGGGGGGGACATGCGATATTCCTACTACACGCACGAGTATTTTATACTCAGGGCTCCTGGTTCTGTACAGTGCTTCTCTACAGTAAGAAAATATTCCAAACTATTTCCTTAGGTTTTGTCTTTTTTTTTTTTCTCTTTTTTTTTTTTAATAAAATATTTGTGGTTTTTATTATTTTTTTTTTTCTCAAAGGGTTTGTTTTTTTGCCGTTTTTTTTTTTCGTGGTTTTTCTTTTTTAATCTTTTTTTGTCCTTTTGAAATCAACACGGAAAAGTTGAATGGAATGAGCCATGTTCCACTAAGAGTAAAATAATCATCATAGTAACAAGAATGTACATTAGGACGAGCTTGGTCCATTAAAAAGGAACATGTAACTACGGTATTGCTTTACATCCACGCAGCAGATATATACAACTTGGCACATTAAAAACCGGTTTTCTTCGAAGAACATCTAAAACAGGACTGGATCTGCATATGTACGTGGGGGGACAAGAAAGCAAAGCCATTTCCAAGGGGCAGCGTCGCCGAACCCCCCCCTCCCTTTGCTCCATGTCCCCAGGGCAGCCCCACTCTTGGGCTCGCTGTGGCTTCATGCAGGGAGCAATGGGGGGGCCTGGGGGCAGCCCCCCAGCAGGGCAGAGGGAGGGTGGCATGGGGAACGCTGGCTCTTCAGGTGGGAGACGGACAGGTTAAGCTGTACAAGCAGAACACGAGGGTAGTGTCAGCAGCTGCTCTATCCTACAGGGCACAACAAACACTCGCTGGGAATACTGCTCGACGGTTCATGGAGTGAAGGGTTCCTCTGGTTTTAGGGTTAAGGGGGGGTTTGCTTCTTTTGACCACGTTTCCATTTGCACAACACACGAGACGCAACGAGAACCACAGCTTCTCCAGCCCACCAGCAGCGATGGCAGCGGCAGGGGCTGGCCTGCCTTCAAAACCTCTGCAGGAAACAAGCAAGCAAGAGAATCCCCCCCCAGCCTCCCCGTTCCAGGGCACAGAACAAGGGCCTCAAGCAGCCAACTCCTGCCTCGCTCCAAGGGCGCTCTGGAGGCTGCTCCTTGGCACCCACGTGCGCCCCGCGCTCACCCTGGGGCATCGCCACCGACGCTGCTCTCCTCTTGGGACTTGTGCAAATCTGAGGCCTCGGCTTCAGGGCTGCCCTGCACTGGAAGCCACTGGGCCTTCACCCTCCCATCCGACTGCATTCACTGCCACGGGCCACGGGGGGGCCAGCAGGATCTTGTACAATCACAGGTTAAGTGGGGAATATTCTCAGAGTAGCTCAGTCCTTTTCCTTCTCACCTCCCCCATTCCTGTCCTTTTTTACCTCTTTTTTTTTTCCTTTTTTTTCTTTTTTTTTCCTCTGAGTGGGAATCTCAAGCAAAAATAAATTAAATTTGACCATCCTGGACAATAACCACGAGGTTTTCTCAGTACCTAACATCAATACAAGGCACGCCCAACAACACACACACCATAAGAGCACTGCAGAGCAGGGCAGGGCGACCTGCCAACCCAGACATCTAAGTGCTAACTGTTTGTATATTTGTCAGTTTGCTGCTGCCCTCTTTTCCTTGGCTGGTGCAGAGGAAGTTGGGCTCCTGCCCTCAGTCCTCAGCAGACCTTGTAGCAGACTCCAGACCACAGCTTCCTCCAGTGGCATCACTTCCTGAAGCTGCTCTCGGGGATGGTCAGCGTTCGCCGCCGCAGTTTTCTTCCTGATCCTTCCTCCAGCAAGTAAGTGACATCAATAGCTGCAACAGAGCACAGGCTTCTGGTAAAGGAAGGGGATAACAACAAGGGTTTTCCCACTTCCCTGCTCATGGTGCTTCCAAGGATGTTCCCATCCACAGCAACATTCAGAACTCTACCGGACAAGGTGCTGAGCAACCTGGCTGAAGTCTGGAGTTAGCCCTGCCCCGCGTCAAGTTTGCACCAGACAATCTCCAAAGACCCTTTCAATCTAACTGATGATTCCATGAGTACTTTGCATTGACACCCAGAACACAAAGGAGACTGGACAGAGCTCATCCTAAGCTCTAAATCAAAACCGGACACATTTAACCAGTGCAACCACTGCACCCCAATTCTACAGCTTAAACAGTGCCTGCAGAAGTTACCTAAAACCCAATGGAAAGCTCATGGAAGGTCAAAAGGGACTTTCCAAACTCTCTTCAGTCTCACTCTGTGTCTTTGCTCAGTTTCTGAGCTGAACGATGGGGGGAGTTTGTCTTCAGAGAGTTTTGGTATAAGCACAGTGACAGTGGTAGGAAATTCCTTTGGGATTTAGTGGCAATTGCTGCTGCTGCAATAGAAAACACTGCTGCAAAGAGAACTCATTCCTAGTAACATCCACTAGCAATGACTTCAGCCAAACCTGTTTATTTTATCTCCACAGTCTGCAGTGAAGGGAAGATGAACCTGCAGATGGAATGCTTCTGTGTAATGAGAGAGGAAAATCTCACCGTTTTTCCCTGGGATTTTCTCTAAGAGGTTTAGCAGGATCTGATTCAGTCTCTCCCTCTGCAGATGCCGCCTTTCCTCTGGAGTGCAGAGCTGCCTCGTGTCCGAGCTGCTTTCTTCTACCTTCTTCTCAGCTTCACAGCCCTCAGCAGAGGCTGCCTCTTTTTCTGCCTCCTCTAGGGCAGGCATCTCACTGGCAGGTTGCTCTTGGTTTCCCAACACATCCTCCATCAGTGGAAGAGAATCTTCTTCTTGGTTTAAGTCTTTAATCTGCGGTTTGGAGCGGTCTGTTTTCCAGGATGATCTAGCAGGGAAAGAAGGGTTTAACGACCACGGTTTTCCAGATGGAAAGGTCAGTTACCAGTGAGCCAAGGACTTGTCAGCAGCCAGGGGGGGTTCTGGAATCTCAGTCACTTGATTTACTATGCACATTCAAACCCTTAGTGCAGGAAGGCTGGCTGCTCTTGTCCTGGGATTTGCCATCTCCCACATTCAACTGCTTTTGCTACCTTTCAGAACAGCTCCCGTACTCTTCCTTACCTCCATTATTAAGGAACACTAACACTGCTTCTCCATTCTGCCCTTCCTCACCTGTTCCCTTTTTACCTCTTCCTTCAGAGAGATTGCTTTAAATAATTTAAACTTCTGATTTCCATAGCATGCAGGGGAAGCGGGTACAGAAAAGAGCGGACACTTGACAGACAGGATGATCCCATCTCTTCTCAACGAACATCTGGTAGGTAAGACTCACCTGCCTCCATTTCTCTTGTAGTTGTCTGGTACATAATGAGGCTGCAAGAACAGTGAAGAGTATGGTTAACACCAAAGAAAATACACAGTGGAAGAAGGTGACACAGCCAGCCTGACCAGCCCACACGGGCCTGGATGTTGTGTGAGGCTCTAAAACACATCAAATCCTTGTACAGTCACAGAATTGTGACCAAAAAGGGAGTTTTAGGATTTTCTTCACTCAGGAAGTGAAGTTTGGCAGTGCTCAAGGCCAGGCTGGATGCGGTCTGGAATCGGATGAGCTTTAAGGTCCTTTCCAACCCAACCCAGGCTGGGATTCTATGATTCTAGGAGTGGCGTAAATGAAATCAGCACCTAGATTTCAGCCAGAAACCACAATCTCCAAACTTACACATCACCGTTCAGTCAATATCTGTTGGCCTTTGAACTGCATATTCTCTACCTCCAATCACTTTGGCTTTCCAAGCTTGCTTCCTAG